TTAAAGATTACTTTATTAATTATCTAGATAGCTCCTTAATATATAGATTAATAGCTACTAAGTATATTCTTAAAGGAGCGTTAAGAATTATATATAAAAATACTTTATTAAAAGCTAAGGTTAAAACCCTTTATAAGGAAAATAACCTACTTAACTAACGTAAAAAGGTAAAAAAAACTTATCTAAAGTAAAAAAGAAGTCTTAGTATAGCTAATATATAAGATATTTAGTTATAGAGAGAGGTAATAACCTAGATTAAGGAGGAAATATATTAAAGTAGTAGTTATAGATTAAAGATAAAAATAGGTAAATAGTAGTATAGCACTTATAGGAACACTAGATATAATATATAAACGTACTAGTTTAATAAAGAAATATCTAAAGAATAGGATTCTAAGTAGTTTAAATTAATTTTATTATTTTATAGTTACTTCTTAGTTATATTTATAAGGTAGCTATAATTAGGTGGCGCGCTTACTTATCTAGCGCGCTTACTTATTATATATATTAACTAGGCCTTAAACTTTATATAATAATAACCTAAGCTAAAGAGATATTTTAATTAAAAGATTAACTATTAAAAAGTCCTCTATAGAGATTTAAATATATGTTATATATTGTTTTTCTTTATATAAAATATAATTAGAAAGTATAGTATATATAATAATAATATTTATAACTTTAATAAAACTAGATTTATAATAAGTAAGATATTTTCTAAAATAGTTATTATAGCCTTTAAATAATATAGTAAGCTAAGAGAAGTATAATAAGGGAATTTAAAATAAGTTATAGTAATCTAGGGTATTAGGTTATATAGCTATTTTATTACACTATATATTATCTATATGAGTAAAGTCTATCTTAACTCTTAGATTTATAATAGCCCTCTTTTACCTAACTAGGTAATTACTTTTATAAAAAATAGTTAGATTATAAATAAGAAAGGCCTTAAGTAAGTAAAGCTTTTTAATTTTTATATAAGGAGTTATATAAAAAGGTATTTACTACCTCCTTATCTTTAATAGCTATAAAAGCTACTATTATATTAATTTTAAGCTATATTATAAAAAGCAAAAGATTATTATACTTTATATAGTACCTTATATATTATATAGGCTTTAGTCTCTTAATATTAAGTGCTTTAGTCTTTTAAAATAAGTATATAGTTAAGATATTAAGGTCCTTATATAGGTATATATTATATATATTATAAAAGATAACTTTCTTTTAGCCTTTTATAAGGTATATTATAAGGTAATAACTATAGTAAGTATCTAAGTAGGCTTTAAAGTAGCTAGCCTTATTTAATATAATCCTAAATATATAGTTTTATAGCCAGATATAAAGCTTTATATACTAATATTACTATATTCTTTTACTAGCTTACTAGAACCTTAGGTCCTAAAGACACTAAACTAGCTAATTAAATTTCCTTTATAGTCTAATCTAATTATAAATTAAATTATATAAACCTTAAAATAGCTCCTTAGTATTAATCATTAGGTACATATAGTAGCTAAAGAAAAGGATAATAATAGTAGTGTATAAATAGACTTTAATATAAGTAGACCTAGCTAGGTATTAAGAGGTAAATAAGTATCTAAGCTGCTATTATTAGATAAAGAAAAACAGATTTAGAAAGGTAAAACACTTATAATTAATTAGGTATAAGATATAAAGCCTTAAATAAATATAATAAAGTAGTTATAAGTAAAAACAGGTTAAAGTAATAGTTATATAAAGAAAATAGAAATATATATATAATAATATAGTATCTATAAAGAGCCTAGTTATAATGCTTAAATATATTAAAAAGTTAAGTCTACCTCTAAAGAGGAGGATTCTAAATACTTTAAATAAACTTAAGGTGTTATAGTTATTTTCTCTTATATGTAGAAAGTTAAAAAAATACAATATAAACAAAATATAATATAAGTATAGGTACTTTTATTTCTTCTTTAATATAATAGAATATATGTATTTGTATTTATTCTTTTACTTTATATAATATAATATAAGTATAAATATATATAATATATTTCTTATTTAATATAAAAATATAAAAATAAAATACAAGATTATTAATTTCTTTATATATTGGTTTATACTATATTAAAGTAGTATATAAAGATAGAGTAATATAGCCTTCTTAATATTATTATATACACTAGTTAATAATACTAAGACTTTAAACTTTATTACTATAAAGATTATTTAAAAGAATATTAGTAATATAATATTTCTTCACTTCTTTAATCTTATAATCTAATATAATATTTATATTACTTTCTTCTTACTTATAATAGCTAAAGCTAATACTATACTCTATAGTATTAATAATAGTGTTTTATAGTATAATAAATTAGTAATAGTAATAAATTAAAGATTAAAATATAAAATAACTTACTTTAAAGTCTTTAAAAGTACTATTATTATTATTAATAATCTTGTTATTATAAACCTTATATAATAGTAGCTTTAAAGTATTACTAATTATAGTATCTTTATTACTTATAATAATATTATATAATATACTATAAGAGTTAAATACTCCTTAAGTATTAATATTCTGCTTTTCTTATAATTATTATTTACTTTCTATATTCTTTAAGTTATTTACTAAACTAAGATATATAGAAACAATAGAGCTATTTAATTCTTCTATTAAGTTAACTAAATCTATAATACTAGGCTTAGTAGTATTATTAATTATAGTATTAATAATATTATAATAGTTAAACCTTTCTTCTAGGTCTAAGTACTTCTTATACTAAAGTAGACTTAAAGATATAGTAAAATCTATTTAGAAACGTATTATTAGTTACTAATAAGTATAATATAATTTTAGTAGTTATAAATTAATAGTGTTAAAAGGTAAAGATTTAAGTAATATTAATTTATTAATAAAATAAATACTTACTTTAATAGTAATAAGTTTTATTAAATAAAGTATATAATACTAGCTTACTAATAATAAGGTATTTAAAAATTATACTTATAGTCTAAAGTAATTATTAGTTATTACTAAGGTAGTAATATAGTTAACTATATATATATTATAGCTAGTTTCTAGATAGTAAGGTTTCTACTAATAGTAAGTAAAGGTTAATACTTAGTTTAATAGTAATATTATTCTTACTATTTTATTAATTACTTAGTAATTAGTTAAGTAGTTAATATTATTAAGATAGCTTATATAGCTTCTTATTAATTAAATTACTAAGGTTAGATACTAAAAAGATATTTAGAGAATATATTATAAGTTAATTACTAAAGAGCTATAGAAGTCTGTTCTTAAGTGCGTCTAAGTCTATTCTATATATAAGACCTAACTATTCCCTAAATAGTTCTTTTAACTAATAGTTAAAAGTAATTACTATTCTTATATAAGGTAAGCGCTTAGTAGATACTAGTAAGCGCTTACTTTTATAATTACTAGTAATTACTTTATCTTATAATTACTTCCTTATCTTTACGTAACTTATACTATAGTTCTTTTGTTTTAAGGAGTTATCTATCTGTTCTTTATTTCTTATCTATATAAATACTACTGCTACCTACCCTCTGTCTATTAGGTAGAGTAATATAGCTTATAACTTATTAGGTTATAATAACGTATTAATAGGTAATAATAAATAATAGTAGTAAATACTAGTTCTAAGTTATATATAAAAAGGAAAACTATTATAAGATTATATAGTAAATTTACTATATAATATACTTATAAGTCTAGTAAATCTATAGGGAAATTACTATAAAATCCCTAAGCTAATCCTAGCTATATAATTAGTAGAATTACTAGTAAAGTAAGGCTAATTTACTGCCTATATCCTAACTATTTACTATAGGTTAACTATGTATTTACTAGTTAATTTATATGTTATTCTACTATATTTAACAGTTATATACTTATTACTTTAGTAAGGTATAATTAATAAGTTAAAGTAGTATAACTAGTTTAGTTAGTATTATAATTTATTAATAACTTATTTTAACATTTAATAATTTTAGTAAGAATATAACAAAAAGTAGTATAAAGTAGGGATAGGGTGTAACCCCCCCTTTTTGCCCCCCTATATAAGGGGGTGTTTAGATTTCTCAGCTTGCCTACTAACACCCCTTAGTAAATGTTTGTAGACCTTTCTCTTTTAAAAGCCTAACCCTAGCTATTGTGCTGCCCTTAGACGTGTAAAAGACTAAAGCGATCCCGACCTGAGGACTGAGTATGCATGCATGCATTGCCTGGGAAAGCATAGACAAGGTATACATACGAAAGCATGCCATGCCCTGGATCACAACTCTTGTGGCGCCGAAGATGCTACTAATAGGAACATTGTTAATAAAGTAATTTTATGACTAAGCTCAAACGGTTCGTCTTCGAAACGAAAGTCAAGGCCACGAGCTAGCTTGGCAGTTGCAAGTAGAGGAGTCCCTCCATTTCTCATTACTTCTCTGAAATGCGCAGTAGGAGAAGCCTACCCTATAAGTCCATTTATGCCTCTACTATGAATGTAAGAACGAGAACGCACGTCTAAAGAAATCTAAGCGCTAGCCTTTCTCGACGTGTTTCGGGTCGGAACAGTAGCGTTAGTGGGGCCGACAGAAGAAACGGCCATTCGATGATGCCTTCGGTGCATTAGTACAACTCTCCGGCTCCGACCACTTTGACATCTACCGGGGCTCCCTAGGCCGCAATCCCGACTCCGACCCCCCTGATTGCATGTGTCCTCCTTACACTGTGATATAAGTCGCCGCTGTTACAAAACGCCTGCGTTGTTGACTGTGCAGCGCGGGAGTCACAAGTACTTGACTTGGAGTTTGATAGTCCGGCGACCTATAGGAAGACCTTCGCTATCAGCAAAGAAGGCACCGCCCGTACAAGAAAACAAAAGGAAGAAAAAGTAAATAAGAAAATGGCGACATATATTAGTAAGGGACGATCCTTTGCCAGCGAGGACGGCCCCTATCAGCTTCCAAACGAGTTAGAACCCCCTTCCGGGCAAACATACCTAGGCATCAGTCCCCGTCTCAGAGCTAACCGCACCAAATGACTCAGTGCCGCGGAACATGAGCGCCTGGACGCGCAGTATCGAGCCTTCGCTAAGGTAATGGGCGGCAAGGTCTTCCACGCCCCGGCTGCAGACGGCTTCCCGAACCGGCCTAGGAAGATCCTCGACATCGGCTGCGGCACGGGCATCTTCACGGTGCAGCTCGCCCGTCGGTTTCCCTCTGCCGAGGTGATTGGTGTGGACCTGTCGCCCGTGCCAGCGGACCGCCACGGGGACACGCCTAACGCCCGCTTTCTCCTCGGCAGCGTGGCGGACCTGCTCGGGCGGGGCGAACTCGCGGCCGGGTCCTTCGACTACGTCTTCCAGAGGCTCACCATCCTGGGCATCGTCGGATGGGAGGCCCACTTGCGGAACGTGGTGGCGCCTCTGCTTGCCCCTGGGGGGGTTGTGGAGCTGCAGGAGTACGACTCGATGCTGCGCGCTGGGGAGGGGGGGTGCGCCGGCGCGGCGTACGATACGGAGCTTGGGGACCGGTGGGAGTGGTTCCGCACCTGGATTAAGGACACAGTTGATATTGGGCTCGACCTAAGGGTTGGGCGCCGCATGGCTGAGCTGCTGGCCGGCGCAGGCATTGACGTTGTCACCCGCGACGTCTACGATATCCCCAACGCCGGGCCGCCGTCGCTGCGGGGCGGCGGCGGGGATGAGTACTGGAGGACAGTTGTGGACACGTACTGGGGCGTCGTGGAAAGGAACTCGGGCCCGCGGCGGAGTCCGGAGGTTCTGGCGGCCATGCGGAAAGGCTACGATGAGACGTTCGTAGCCAACATCGCCGACTTGATGGTGAAGCTCCACGTCGTTGTCGGACGCAAGCCGACGACAGCATAGAGAGAGACAATCTCAACATGTTCCACTTTATTCAGACTCAGCAGTGAAGGGAGGGGGCCGCTATCCGATCCTCCATAAACGGGTCGCCGTCGTCTATGTTTACTTCGTCCAATACTAATATTCGTAACCTGTCACTTGGCAGTAGAACGCGGATGTGATTTGTGCCTGGAAAGAGGTTCTACAACACGACACAGTCCTTCCATCTGGACAATATCCCGGATAACTGGCAACACTTGGAATCTTCTGAACGGGCACATAAACGCGAAAACGACCCAGAGCCCAAGTTTACTCCAACGCAAGCCCTAAGCTTTCCATTGACGGTGACTGGGCCAAAACCAATACATTCGTCATAGAGCAGTAACATGTGGAGTTAGACTTATAATTAGGATGAATGTGATGGTCTGTTGAGGGAGATGTAAAGGTGATCTAGCGTTGAAGGCCATGTACCAAACGATGTGAGCGTAAATGTAGTCTTCTAGCCGTGATGAGTTATGGTGTAGGGATCTAATCCACCTTTGCCACATCGCCATACCGCACTCGATCCCCCGACAAAAGCTTCCGGGTTCAATAAAGTAGGTCGAAGAACCTATCCTGAAATCGCCATATCTCGAGCTCTGTTTCGGTCTATCACTGAGGTTTGTCCGGATTTCCATGACTTCTTGGTCGCACTTTGACCATGAGGGGCCTTTTTTTGAAGACGAGAAATACCGGTTGGTCGAGCCAGTCTTCATCCTCATCGCAAAGCTTCAGATCAAAGTTCCACAGCATCTTGACCATGATCATTCTGATCTCGACATAGGCCATGCTAGCTGCTGATCAGTATCCGCATAAGACGAACTTATACCGGTCTCTGCTTTGGGTCGTTTAGACATACTGTTTTCCCATGCAGACGCGCGGACCATACGAGAAAGGCTGCAAGGCTGCTCTGTTGTCGTATTCGAAGTAGTCACCGGTTTGATCCAGGAAACGCTCGGGGATGAACTTTTCTGGATCCTTGAAGTTGAGTTCGCTCCGGAAGCAGGCGTAATTCGACACGTAGACCGAGGTCTGGATATATAGCTGTCGTCAGCGCTTCATCCACATTAACAAGGGTGAGGGGAGGGGTGTTTCTGGTCATCTCACCCCGCCTGGGACAAACCGGCCGCAAATCTCAGCGCCCTCTGGCGGAGTCACTCTCTGGAATCCCGTGACTGAGGGCGGGTACACTCTCAAGGTCTCGTTTATGCAGGCTTGTAAGTACTCGAGACGCTGCATGCGAGCGATCGTTATGTCCTGCTCGCTGTCGAAGCTGGTGCGGATTTCCCTGACGAGCTTCTCCATAACGCCGGGGTGCTTGAGCATGTAGTACGTCAGGCCCCCGCACGCCGTGGCCGTCGTCTCCGTACCGGCCATCATGAAGGCGCTCGAATTGGTGTGCATCTCGGGCAGCGTCAGGCGGTCCTCCTTCTCCTGGTGCCTGAGAACGAGGGACCACAAATCAGTCCGCGCTTCCGCCGAGGGCGGCTTCTCGAGACGCCTGTCGACGCTCTCGGCGCAGTACCTGAACTGCACCCTCCGCTTCTCGCGCAGCTTCGCGCCGAAGGCGAGACGCAGACCTCTATAGAGCAAAGGCCAGTAGCGCATGCTCCGGAAGATGACGCCGGCCTGGAGGCTGTTGAAGATGGCATCGATCCAGGGAATGTATGCCGTCGTCTCCAGTAGCTTCAGGGACTCGCCAAACGTGAGGTCGGCCATAACGTCAAAGGTGGCATAGTTGTACCATGCCAACAGATCGAACTCTCCCTGGGAGTTCCCGTCCATTTTTTCCTTCAGCCTCTGGGTGAGCAGGGTGGTATACTTTTGGAAGATTGGTTCTTGTTCCTGTAGTGCCTTGGGACTGAATGCATGACTGAAGATCCTGCGGAATCGCGCATGGTTCACATCGTCGGCCTCCAGGATGCCCGGTGTGCCATTGTCCAAGTCCTTGACGGGGCCATAGAAGCGTGGGTTCTTGGGGCAGCCACGCTTTCCTTCTCGGGTGTGTCCGTATATATCTTTCCAGGCTCGTCCATCCGTGTAGCTCAGCTCGCTCGGACTAACGCGGACAACGCGCCCGTACCTCTTGTGTAACCCGTCGAGCCAGTATGGGTGTGTGCCGCGCCACATGTGCCACGCGACCGGTAGATGGCTCACATGACAGTAGATCGGGGCGGGGTATTTGCTTAACGGCGATATGAAGGCCTCGTAGACCACAGATGCGATGTAGGCGACAAGAACCTGAGACAAAAGGAGAGGTTTTCAAATCAGTTGGTTTCCAACAAGCAGTCCTATGGAGCCTGTGTTATCTTCCGACTTACAAAGACCCCGAAAAAACCAAGCGCAGTCGTCATGACCCGTTCAGGTGTCTGATAAAGCCAGTCCATGGTGTTCATAATTCTCTCGAGGGTTGCTTGAGAGGTAAAGCTCAGACCGATCGAGATCGAGTTCTTCTTCTTGTAGAAGGCAAGCCAATTATGCAGATGGTTCGAATCCTCATCACAACAGGACAACTCGGCAACGGCTTGAAAATGCGCCGAACGTGCGCCGATCTCATCTCCTCTTGGGGGATTACCCCCAAGAGCTCCAAACTCAACTGTGCACCAACACCCGCGTGTGGAAGTCTAATTATGTATATACCCTAGCAGCAAGTGGCCGCTAACAAACTAACAGCGGCCGACAAAGTCTAACTGCATCTGCTCCTCTTCCTCAAGCCGCCGTGTCTGTGAAGAGTCTTTTTTTCTGTATAAATACTATTGCTGCTCGTTGTCCTGTCTGTCTAGTGGGACAACATAGCCTGTAACTTGTTGGGTTGTGTAAAGTGATGCACCTGCCAATCGACCTTCTGACGCAGGTTGTAACAGGTGTCTCGCCGTGTGCCTTGCTGGTGGTGCTAGAGAAGTGTCAGAATTATCCGACATATAAGCCTATATACACACCGAATTAAGAAGAATATACTAACTAAATGCTCCTATGTGGGGCAGAGGCACACATGAGGTTGTTCCTCACTTGATGTGGTCTTGGCCGATGGTCTCAAGATGTCCGCGGGGGGGGGGGGGGGGGGCGGTGATGCTATGCTTTGAAATAGGTCTACAATAATACGGACCATGTCGCAGTTGAGGGGACAACAAGATACGACCTGGAGGTCTAAGCTAGGTAGTAAAGATGCGTTCAGTCGGTCTGAGGGGGACATAGACTTTGAGCCCTTCGCTGAACGCTTCAATAAAACAAGGCGAAGTCAGCTGATGGATTAGAGAAAAAGGTAAATAAGTGATAGGCGCATACGCTTGTTAATTATGTTTGTTGACAGCATATAGTGTAATTACTATCCCGCTTACCGATTGAGTTTTTCCATGCAGCTATACCTCCATGCAGCTACACCACGTCAGCTAAAGTTTGACAGAGGATTGTCTCAAGTACTGGTCAAGGTTGAGGTCTGCAAAGAGACATGAAGCTTAGGGTTAGCTAGGTACAAGGCGGTCCCTCGGAAGTTGGCGCAGATACATAACTAAACATACAGAGTTATCAGAACAGAGTAATGGTCAGCGGTTAGCAAAAGATAAACTTCCTGTATGGGGGCGTCTAGCTATGTACCTTGATAGCTCACCAGAGCATAGAAGTCCAGAGTGCCCTCAGAGATAGAGATACTGCGAGCACCATGCCCGTATACAACTACTGCTTCTTTCATGTCTTCCTCGAAAGACGAATTGATCTAACTACCGTTATAAAGAACTACAGTCCTAATCATGCTGGTATATAGACTCACAATCTTTAGCGATAATATGGTCAAGGCGGCTAAAGCATGGCTAGAGAATAGAGCCGTGGGAAGGAGAACAAATCAAGCAGTTAGATAAACTGCAGTCCTGGACCCATCGATAAGACACAATCGGCGTTATGCCGGCAATACAGATAATTTGGTGGGATAGGCACCCGGTCGGCAAGCCAGGTTGAAAGATCATCATGAATGAGACACAGTGCCAAACGCTACGGTTGTCTAAATGGGGGTATGATAAAAAGCAGCCCCCCACAGACAGGAACCTGATTTTCAGATGAGAGATAATAAGAATAGCTGCACCCAGAACCATGTCTCTGTATACAATACCTGAGCACAAAAACCATTTTACCCCAGCATTCTTTGACACCAAGACATTGGCAGCTTTGCATCGAGATCCTATTAACGTTTGTGCTCCCTCCGTTGTCCTACGTTCGCATCACAAAACGCATGCGCTAATAGTCACATGACATTCCATGGATTGCGGTATGGAAACGCTTTCACATGTTAGCTGATTCACTGTGCGTGTTCTGAACCTACGGTGCCATGACTTAGGTAGCGCAACGCGAAGATTTACTGCACGACGCTTCAGAGATGCAGAAGATTCTCTCCATGCCTATCCCTTTGATTTGCCAGCCCGGTCAATATTCGAGTTCCTCGATGGTACACGAGGAGTTTATGAGGTTTTGGACGCAGCAATGAGTGGAAAGACATATCTTAACAATACAACATAGCTTTGGACCTTCACCTTGGAGGCTTCAGCACCCCTAAGTTTCACATCGGCCACTGCGCTGAGCTCGGCTTTCGAGGTTCCGAATATTCTCAACGGCCTGACTGTCATTTTGGGGTGAATGCGTTAGATTGGGGAAAATGCTTCTTGCACCAGAGGAGACCGCGCTACTTGAGCTCGACGACCAGCTCCGTCGCTCTGCCTGTGACCGTTGTCGGTGCCAGAAACTACGATGCGAGCGTCCCGGCACTGGTTCCGGCCCCGGCTCCGAGGCCGCGACCAGCAGCAATAATGCCGGCGCTAGTTCCTCGACCGGAGGCCCATTGGCGCCGTGCCGCCGTTGCCAGAGGGTTGGTGCCGTTTGCAACACCAGCTTCCAGCAGCGGCCCGGTCGTCCGCGCACCTCGGATGACTCGTCGTCTCGCGGAGCGCGACGGACCCGGGCAAGGCGGGCAGCAGCCCACTCTCCAGCCAATTCGATCCATCACAGTCAGCATCAGCATCAGCAGCAGAGTATTGCGGCGGCTGCTGCTGCTGCTGCTGCTGCTGCTTCCTCTTCTTCTTCTCATCGGCCTGAGATGCTCTGGGCCGAACAAGAAGAGCTTCTCCAGGCGACTCAAGCACGACACACAAAATCGCAAGCACCAGTTGGGATGCAGCAAAGTCATGTTTCAAGAGGTTCCGGTGGCCCCGGCGCTTCTTCTTCCGGTCCTGCCACCTCTACCGAGCGGGGTAGAACCACTACGGCTGGCGAGGACTATTCGGAGTTCTGGACCTCGTGTTCCAATGATATGCTCCCCTCGTGGGGGTGGAACGGGGAGGACCTTTCCGGCCTGATCTCAACGAACAAGGACACGCCCAGCCTGAGCAGCGCCGGAGGAGTGGCTTCTCTCGATGACGAGCTTGCTGGCGCCACTGTAACCCAGACCTCGCCGCCGGACATCGAAATTCATCCTCCCCAGGGCGACCACCGGAGAGACTTGTACCGGCAACTTGCCGATCTTAGCCATACATTGAGCCAAGATGCCCAGGGCTTGGCGTCATCGTCATTGGGAGCCGACCTTGATCTGAAGCACGTCGGTAGCAGCTGCATCCAGCGGGCTTTCAAGTGCTTAGAGGCGCTCAAATCTCTGACCGATGAGCTGCGGATAAAGACGCAGCACAGCCTCCAGGCCCTGCCTCAGGCCGATGTCCTTCTCACACCCAACAGCGACTGGAGCCGAACTGGCGTCTTCTTCACGGAAAAGGACGCTGATCATCTCGGCAGGAGTTGTCAGACAGGCCCCGGCACGACGACAACGGCCGACGTCCGCCCTGGTACAGACCGCCACCTCGACATGATCATGTCGCTACACATCGTGACATCTTATGTGTGCCTAAACCAGATCCTGAAGCGCACCCTGGGCTCCATCCTCGCGGCCGTCGTGTCCCAGCAGAAAGGCGGGGGGGATGGCTCCGGATCCTCGTCCACAGAGAAGCCGCTGCTGCTGTGGCCGGACATCCAAATCGAGGGCCTTACGGGGGACGGCGATAATCTTCTCAGGGTACGGTTGTTCGCCGAGACATGCCTTCACGTGGCGACGGGGATTCACAAACGCCTCGAGTCGCTGACTTCGGCCGCCAAGGACACGATGGGGTCCAGCCTCTCGAGACCCATGATGATGGTTTTGGGTGGGGGAGGCGACTCGCTCGACGAACTCGACGTCGATATCCGCGGAATCAAGCTATTGTGCAGCCAGATCTCGAGCGCTGTCGAGGAACGCGCTTGGTAAAGAGGAGACCGGAGCGCCGTGTGTCTAATACACAGGCAATTGCAACCTCGGACGGAAATATCAAGTAGAAATAGTCTCGTGCTTCTTATGCTAAAATGCTCAGGGATAAGGATAAATGGCTCGAAAAAATGTGGGATATCAAACATGATTGCTCCTCTGGATACTTGCCCGAGGAAGGGCTTTTGTTCCATGCTAGCAGTCGAAGTTTTAAAACGAAAGACCCAACTAAGTACTTATATCTTGGATAGTTTGATAATGTACTTCACAGCCTCTCTACAGTCCACAATCCTAGTGGGAACTTGATGACCGCCCTCGAATTCCAAAACCGTAGCTGCGCTAGGCTCATAGTGCTCCCTGACGAGCTTCCGTGCCCTGGCCAAACAGAAGTCCTGCCTGCCGTGCAGATGCAAGGTCGGGACCCGGATCAGCGTTCCCCCATCGGCCATCATGTGAGCGCCGGCCTCGTCCGGAAAGAAGCAACAGATGAGGACGGCGAACCGTATATAGGGCAGCCACGGCAGTCGCCCGAGCTGCTGCTGCCAGACCAACATTGAGGCCACCAGGGCGCCCTCGGAGAAGGCCAGCAGGCCGACGATCCTGGGGGCCGGGCCCGCTCCTCCGGTCCTCTGAGACTCCTCCCACCTCTCAACGGATTCGCGGACGGACTCATTGATGGTGTCTAGCCTGTCTTCAATAGTCGCGCCCGACCCGCCAAACCAGCCGTAGAAGGGCGCCGCTGAGGCGAAGATGGGGAGAACGCCCGGCCCTGCGGGGACGGGGTACGGGGCGTCTATGAAGACGAACTCGAACTCATCCTTGAGCGCCAGGCGGATTTTGGCGAGCTGCATACGGAAGATGCTGGATTTTGATCCAGTGCCGTGCAGGCAGAGGAGAGCTTTTGACGGACGGGTGGACATGGTTCAAGACGGAGATCTCCTGTATGTTCTTATTCGAGGATTTCTGATGCCTTGGGGAGTTGAGGGGTCTTTGCCGGATGAATGAAGGAGGCTTCAGCTATAGGGGGAGGAACAGACTCCAGATCGACATGGGTATTCGAGTATGGAAGACTTGAATGTAATTTTGGCAGCCGGTGTAAATTGGTTCCTGCGGGCAGATGACGAGGGCGTAGCCACACCACCATTTTATTCACGACCATGACTTGAGAGAGTGTGCCGGCATGTCTGGTTCTAGAAGCCCGCAGATAAACCAAGGTTAGTTAACAAAGATATTGGCACTATTAGTAAAAGGCAAGGGATGGCCTTTGTAATATTGAGTGGGAACTGGGGCAACGTCACTTCGCATCGACATGAGGAGTTGAGTCAGGTACTCCAAGTAGGTTAACATACTATCGTGCCATCTGTTGAAGTATCCCCGAAGGCATTGATCAAGGTGCCGAATCGGTAGTGTGTGGGCACACAGGGTGGGGTTTGGATCGGAGAGGGGGCACCAAACGACCGATGGCGTGTAAAAGCTTCCGAGAAGAAGTTACAAGGAATGGTTCGGACCGTTTCATCATCTTTCGATGGCTTATGTCCCGTCCCACCACTTTCAAACGATGGACTCGACTCCGAGAAGGGCCAGACAGTTTGGCGCAAGAAACTGAAAGGGGGGGGGACATTTCACGGCAGGGTTCGCTACTTAAACATGTTTCGTTGACCCAACTCATGCTAGAATAGATAGATCTCGACAGATTAGACTTCAAGCGGCTAGCGAATGGCCGTACAGCTTGCCTCTCCCATAATCGACACTATGGCCACCAAGACTGTTCAAAGTGGGCCGAGTATGGCGCGCCTAAAGTATCAACAGCCAGCCGAAACCAAACATGAATGTGAGTTGTGAGCCCTCTTCACCTTTGGAGAAGGTTGACTTTGGTAACCCTGGGAACTTGGACTAATGCTGTGGCGTCTTCCGTGAATCAAGTGGACTGGGCTGAATTCATTACCCTCGACCTTTCTCAGTTTGACGCGCCCGGGGGCAAGAAGAGGCTCGCAGCCCAACTCCGGGATGCCGTCCACCAGATCGGCTTCTTCTATGTCATCAACTACGGGATCGAGCAGGAGGTGGTGGACGAGCAGTTCGCCATCGGCAGGGAGGTCTTCAAGCTGCCCCTCGAGGAGAAGATGAAGCACGTTGCCGACATCGCCAACGGCAGCTACAATGGCTACCGGCCTAAGGGGACCAGGGAGCAGTTCCCCGGACTCCGCGACAACGTCGAGTTCTACAACCTATTCAAGCTGAACGGAAAGCTGGAGCGCTCCCACCCGGACGTCATCGTGCGGAACCGGCCCAAGATCGAGGCCTTTCAGCGGCACATCGTCGAGGACGTGACCCGGAAGCTGCTCATACTACTAGCCATCGTGCTGGAGCTACCCAGGGAGGACCAGCTGCTTGAGGGTCACCATTTCGAGGACGTCAGCGACTGCCATCTCCGCTATATGCTCTACCACTCGCGCAGCGCCGAGGAGAATGCAAAGTTCGGCAACGTCTACGCCGGCGGGCACACCGACTTCGGGACCATCAGCCTCTTATTCCGGCAGCCCATTGCGGCCCTGCAGATTATGATGCCTGACGGCAGCTGGAAGTGGGTCAAGCCGTACCCGGCGTCCATCACGGTCAACATCGCGGATGCACTACAGTTCTGGTCCGCCGGGTACCTCAAGAGCAGCATCCACCGCGTTGTCACCCCGCCCGAGGACCAGGCCCACCTCGACCGGCTGGGACTGCTGTACTTCGTGAGGCCGGCGGAGGACCTCGACCTGAAAACACTGGACAGCCCGCTACTGAAGCGTCCGGGGCTCAAGTGTGCCAATGACGAGGCCGCAGGGATCAAGGCGGGCGACTGGGTCAAGGCGAGGGTCAAGGAGGATTTACAGAAGGCGGTCGAGGGCGGGCACAAGAATGTTCCCGTTCTTGGTGGTGTCAGCGTCAAGTATTACCAGTCGTGAAGTTGCATGTATGATTATTCTGGTCTCCTCTGTGTTATCCAGGCAGTCCAAGGGGTGGGATGGCTGGCACCGACACATCTCTCATTGACCAAAGCCCACGTCTGACTGCTTGTCTCATATTATCCCTAACTGATACCATTTCAAGCCGAAATGTAGCCCGGTAAAGTTTACCAGTAGTATTCTAAGAGCCGAACCCTCCGAAAAGGTGAGATTTCGGACGGTTGGTGATATCACGCCGACCATCAAAGTGCGGCTATAAACTTCTGAACGGCTGCGTTTTGTATCCATTCCACTCCTCCTCACCATGCTACTATTACTTCGATCCCACCCTGCACTCTCATCAAATAGACTCCGGCTAGAATCATTGTTCCGAGAAGATGTCGGCGGCTACAGCATTATCGCCCGAGAGCATCTGGTTGGGATCCCGTCAATTATTCACCCCTACCACAGTCCTTGCTGTCATCCTGCTATGCTATGTGTTTTACATCATATATGACGTCAAATTCGGCCCTTTAAGCAGCATCCCAGGCCCGTTCTGGTACAAAGCCTCCGGTATTCCGCTGGCGTACGTGCAGGGACGGGGAAAAGAAGCCGAGGTGATTCCCATTCTTCACGAAAGATATGGCCCCGTTGTGCAGATCGCGCCCAGGGAGGTATCGTTCAATTCGGGCGCCGACGCGTGGCAAGACATGTACGGCTTCGTGAAGCCAGGTGGTGATCCCAAGCCGGCCAAAGACCCAATCATGTACATCGACAACGTCATTGACTACGAGAGCATCCACGTAGCCAGCGATGTCAATCACGCACGCCAGCGGCGGCTGCTGGCGCCGGCGTTTGGGGACGCGGCCCTCCGCACGATGCAGCCGGTCCTGACGATGTATGCGACCAAGATGAAGGACAAGATCACGGAGCGCATCGGATCGCAAGCGGGCGCCGCGAGAATAGACCTGATGAAGATGTTCCTGCTCACGGCGTTCGACATCTTGGGCAGCCTCACCTTTGGAGAAAGCCTTAATATGCTCGAAGACGGCGAGTTTACCCCGTGGGCGCAGACGGTACTTGACAGCATCAGGCTGGACGCCTGGATTCGCATCGCAAGGCACTTCGCCATCGGCCGCGTCCTTGTCAACGCTCTGATGAACACCAAGACGGCCCGGGCGAAGCATTGGGAGCATTTCGAGTACTCCAAGAAGCGCGTTGACAAGCGGCTGGCGCGCTCGCCCACCCATCCTGATTTCTGGTCCTTTGTCGAGAAGAAGAGCGAAGCTGAGGATGGCCTCTCCATGGGCGAGCAATACGTCAACGCCACGGTAATAATGCTTGCCGGTACAGAAACGGTATGATGTTCTGGAGTATCTTGATGAAGGTGTGTCTTGCTGACGATAACAAACAGACCGCTACGGCCTTGTCGGGTGTCATATTCTTCCTGACCAAGAACCCAGAAATTTTGAAGACGGTCCGCGAAGAGGTGCAGTCAACATTCGGCAGTATCGAAGACATGACCTTGGATAAACTAGCTAGGGCCAAGTACCTGAATGCGTGTATCACCGAGACCCTGCGCATCTATCCACCAGTAAGCCATAGTTTCCTTATTCTCCAATACAGACAACGATCAATCAAGTGCTTGACGGACAACTAATCGACACCCGGCCGGGGGTGGCTTCATTCAGGCCCCAACCGCACTCCTGCGTCGTACTCCTCCTCAGGGAGCAACCATCTGCGGAGTGCAGATACCGGGCGATGTTACAGTGGGCGGCCACATATATTCGACGCATACATCTCCTATGCACTTCAAAAACCCCCTCGAGTTCCACCCCGAACGGTGGCTCGGAGACGCAGAATACGCCGACGACCACCTTGACGCCTGGGCGCCCTTTAGCGTCGGGCCGCACAACTGCGTGGGCAAGAACCTGTTGTTTCACGAGGTCCGGCTCCTTTTAGCCACGATGCTGAAGTACTTTGACTTTACGCTCGCGCATGAGTCGCAGGACTGGTCGCGGCAGCGGGTGTTTACCTTGTGGGAGAAGCTGCCACTACTGTGCGACGTCAAGCCAGCTCTGCCGGTCGCGAGTGCATCGTAGCGTGTAGGGTCAGATAGGCTAACAAACTTTTCCCCGTAAGTTTATGACGAGGGGTGCGAACCCTAAGTGCGACTATATAGAGTGTAAAAGAGGCTTTAAACTCAATGGCCATATACACCTAGGTAGGGAAAGGGTTTATGCAAAATAACTTTCTCTTTGTTCTTCAGAGTATGAAAGGAGACAGCGCTGCCGATAAAGGTACAAACTGATACTTTGACGTTCAGTATCAATATCAGAAGGTCATCAAAGTCAATTCCCGACTTCTGGTCCGATTGGCGCCTTGGATCTTGGTGTGAAAAGTTTACCTCGGACTGCGCCAGTCAACCTTTGTCACTCAATTGTTGCTAATAGTTGTAAACCCCCCCCCCCCCCCCCTTTCCTCCACAACCAATGAGCCTCAGACCTGTTTCAAGGGTGTGTACATATGTAGTAGTTAGAAGAATTTCCTTTCTTGTTACAGTGAAGCAGGTCCTTGAGCTACATCCGCGTCTTGAGAGCTCGCCCCCATGGCTTGAAACAGAACCATCCGTCCTGCTAGCCACGTGGGCTCAACCAGTTATTCCTGCTGCCAACTACGTTACCCTCTGCATTCTTCTAGCAGGACAACAAAAGAAACGAAAAAGAATGAGCCGCTCCAAGCTTTTGAAAATAGCCTACCAGCTCATTGACGCGTTCAACGCCTGGGACGAAGATCAAATCATTGGCTGCCGGACTAAGGACTGCGTGCACGAGTTTTGGCCCGCCAGCGTCAGCCAGCAGCGCCACGACAACGCCGCCGCGAGGGCCGAGTTCGCCGCCACCAGAGAGATATTCAAGAACTTCCACGTCCGGGTAGTCGACCATGTCGAGGACCCCGTCGCGGGGCGCGTCGTCATGTTCGCTCACGCCTCCATGGAAACGCACAAGGGGAAGATGGTTCTGGACTACGTGCTCTTGCTGGACATCTCCGAGGAAAGTGAGAAGATCAGCCGAATTTTGCAAATGAACCATCCTAAGTTTGTCTAGATTCAGGAGAGATGCCTACCATGTTTAGATATGTCTGGGGTAAGTCAAAGCACCCACTTTCCGATCACCCCCACATTACGATTATGTATATCTACCCCTAGCCACCACTAACTACCTCATATATATTATCACCACTTTTACAGTCTATATCCAAATAACTTTATTTTTTTATAATATGTTCTTTATTGCCTTATAGTTAAATATACTAAATCTGATATTACCTAGGCAGCAGATGCTGTTACTGCTAGCAGCAGTATACGCTAAGCATCTAAGACCTATAGTATCCCTTTTACCACCCTCTAGAACCGTCTATCTGGTACCTAAAAGAGGTCAGCTGCCTTTAAAGACCTCTAGCGACTATTAGCCACCTAGGAGGCTAATCTGGCCCTTTAGGTGACTGCCTAGGCTGACCTTAGGCTGCTACTAACCTATTAATAACTGAAGGACTTTGCCTATTATATCCTCTAAGCGATAGGGGATACCTAGCCTTTAGGTAAGAGGTAGGTAGATAGCTTTATTAGAAGAAACCTATCTATTAAGGTCTAGAGAAGTTAATCTATTAATTTAAGGCGTATTAATAGGGTATTTACTAAGGTTATTAGGGACTAGTTTAAATATCTTACTATACCTTATATCTAAGGTATCTACCTAGCTAATAGATATAATATAGATAAGACTAGTATCCTTAAGGGTAAGGGAGATAATAGGCTAGTGCTAGGTAGGGCTATAATAAAAGCAGTAAGGAAAAAGTAGTCTAGATTAAGAGCCTAAGTATTTATTATTAAGTATATATCTACTAAAGGTAATTGTTAGCATAATAGGTAAGCTAGTCTCTTAGATAGAGAATTCTAGCTTAGGAGAATATAAGAGAGTATATCTCTTATATAAAGATATATCCTATAGAAGCAAGAATATAGGATAAAAGGGAGATATAAATGCTTATACCTAGGGTAGATAAATAGAGGATATAAGGATATATAGTTAAAAGAGAGTATAGTAGTTAGATTATTAACTATTTGCTTGCTTAGAGAGAGAAGGAAAGGAAACTAGAAACAGGAAGAATTCTAGCCCTTATATAGACCTATACAGCTTACTAGAATATTCTATACTTACGTAAGCTGCTTATAAATCAACCCTTAGTTACGTAACATAATAACCTTAAGTAAATAACCCTAACTTAAAACAATAACCTTATAGGAACAACAGAGGTAGAAGGTAGGATCTGGAGAGATCTTGGACATTCTAGTACCTTCTCCAATCTTCGGTTGATTACGTAATTAGACATGCTTACGTAATTAATATATATATTAATCTACTAAGTAAGTAGATTATAAATATATATATCTTATATATATATAACCTCTATAATAGAGGAAATATAAGATAAAGAAGTATAAGAATACTTAGAGATATTCTTACTTCTAATACTCCCTCTTTTGCTCTATTATAGAGTAAAAGTGGTTAAGTGAAAAAAGTTACCCTGGAGTTACGTAGTAGCGTGTAGGGTAAATATTAATAAGTATAATAACTTATTTATAAAAAGTCCTAATATTATTAAGAAAAATATATCTAATAAATAGATATATTATATAGGCTTATTATTACTAAATAGGCCTATAAGCTTAATAAATTCTTGAAATTTAACCCTAGGAAGGGGTTTTGTTAAGCTATCTGCAGGCATAGAAGAAGTAGGAATATATTCTACTCCTATATTACCTTTTTTAACTTCTTAGTAAGTATAATAATAATATAAGGCAGTATACTTAGTTCTTTAGTAATATTCTAGGTTATAGCCTAAGCCTAAGGCTGCGTTATTATCTGTTTTTATATTTATAGCGGTTATATTATACCCTATTTTAGATAATAAGCCTTTTAGCTAGACTGCCCCCCTAATAGCTTCCTATAGGCCATTAAATTCAGCCTTAGTAGTAGATAGGGATATAGTTAACTGTTTTTTAGATTTCTAACTAATAGGGCCCCCTAATACAGTAAAAAGATAACTAGAAGTAGATTTTCTAGTTTCTTTATAACTTACCTAGTTAGAATTAGTATATCCTACTAGGTTAAAGGTATTATTAGAGTTATTAATATCTATATTACCTTAATAGGTAATATTATAATTAATAGTCTCTTTTAAATATTTTAAAATACCCTTTCCTTACTTAAGTAGGAATTCTGTTAGGTTATAGAGGTAACAAGAGGTAAAGGATACGCTATAGGCTATATCAGGCCTAGTCATAAACATAGCGTATATAAGGGAACCTATAAGGCGTTAATATTCCTTTAATAGGTCCTTAGAAGGAGTATAACCTTCTAATTCGTTACCTAGAGGGCTACTTAATATACCTAGAGATATAGGTATATTATTTCCTTTTGCTTCTAGTAGATTAAATCTTTCTAGAAGTTGTTAAATATAATAGGCTTGAGAGATAGTTATAGATCTTCTAGATCTATCTCTTGTTATATAAAGCCCTAGAAATTTAGAAACTTCACCTAGGTCTTAAATCTCTATATATTTAGAGATTTTACCCTTTATATTTTCTATATACTTAATATCTTTATTAAGTATAAGAAAATCATTAACATAGGTAATAATATAACAAGAATTATTTTTATCCTAGTTATAATAGGTGGCTTTGTTAGATTTTAAAGATATAAAACCTATATCTTTTAATATAGATTTAATCTTTAACTGCCACTGCCTAGGAGCTTGTTTAAGGCCATATAAAGCCTTTAAAAGTAATAATATCTGATTCTTATTATTTTCCTAATTTATAGTATTTAAATTAGGGTATTTATTAAAGAAATTAGATAAAGGGATATTAGAAGGGTCTATATATACCTCTTCTTCTAAATCCCTATATAGAAAGGCTCTAACAATATCAATTTGTTAGATTTCCCAATCTAAGGCTGCTGCTATAGCTAATAGTACCTTATAAGTAGTAGGGTTACTACCTGCAGCAAAGGTTTAAAAGTAATCTAGCCTATATTTTTGCTAGAAACCTCTAACACATAATCAGGCCTTATATTTATTAATATTACTATTAATATTAAATTTTTTCTTAAAGACCTATTTAGCAGTTAAAGGTACCCTAGAAGACTTATATGCTTCATTAGGTTCTACTGCTTTTAAAGTGCCTCTTTGGATAATAGTAGCTAATTCTTTATATATAGCTTCTAACTAGAGGTCTTTTTTAGGTCCTTCTAGGGCTTGTTTTAAAGTAGTAGGCTCTAGAGTTTTAATACTATAGTTGTATTCTATAGTATTATTATTATTATAGGCCTTATATTTATCCTTTTCTTCTTTAGATATAGTAGGTATTCTAACCTCTATATTAGAAGAAGGAATAATTTCTTTATTTATAGAAGTACTAGAAGGAATAGTAGTTTTTTCTCCCTCTCTTATAGTACTTTTTATAAATTTAATATGTAAGGTCCTTACTATAGAGGACCTATAAGGCCTAGAAGGAATATATATAGTATATATGTTATTCCCTTCTGTAGATAAATAAATACCTTCTTCTGTATAGGTATTTAATTTATCTAATTAGATATGTCTTTCTTTAGGTCTATAGACTAAGACCTTAGAGCCTATTTTCTTTAATTTAGATAAATCTAGTTTATTATCCTTATTAGGATAAAAATAATCTAGAAAAGCCTCTATAGGGGTCTTTTCTAGTCTTCTTATAGCAGTATAATTTAATAACTTAGTAGTTTCTTTAAGAATAATATCCTATAGAAACTTAGGTAAGTTATTTGCTGCTATAATAGTCCTAGACTTATCTAGAATAGCTCTATTTATTCTTTCTGCTATTCCGTTTTGCTCTAGCGTATAGGGAGTAGAGGGTTCTAAAATAATCCCTCTTTCTTTAATATAAGGTAATAATTCCCCTATATTAAATTCAGTGCCGTTATCTAGGCGTAGGCGTTTAGGATAATTATACCCCTAATTTTTATAATATTCTAGCTTATTTTTTAAGATATTAATTATATCTTCTTTAGTTTTAGAGAATTTAATATCTTTAAGGCTAGAATAATTATCTGTGAATGGAATAGCGTAGTTATTTCTATTAATAAATATAGGGGTAATTTTAAGAGTATCTATATATACTCTTTCTAAGGGAAAAGTTGCTCTATTATAGTTAATTTTAGGCTGTTGCCTAGTTAACTTAGAGCTTATATAGTGAGGACAGTATAAATCCTCTTCCTTTAATTTTTCTAAAGGAATTCCCTTAGTTAACTTAGCTGTTTTAACTAAGTAAGGATAAGAAGGATAACCTAATTTTTAATGCTATTCTTCTATTATAGTAAATACCTCTTCTTTTTCTTAATTTATAGAGGTATTATCTTCTATATTAAAGGATGTATTTTCTCTAGTATTTTCTAGAGATAAAGAAGGGCCTTTTTCTTCTTCTATATCTATATTATATAGAAGATTATTTTTAGGAGGATAAGTAATATTTAAATAGAAACCTCTTCTTGCTATATTAATATTAGCAAAAGGTTCTCTATTGCTATTATAAAGATTCTAGTTAATAAGGAATCTACCTCCTTTATAGTGTAGAAGGCCTGAAAATATAGATATAGGAAATTCTAGTATATATAAGGTATTCTTTAACCTTATATAGTTAATTTCCCCTTTAAAGTAAATAGGAAGTAAAACAGTTCCTATTCCTTTAGGTTTAACAGGTCCTGCTTCTGTATTAACTATAGGAATATTTTCCTTAGTTAATAGGTCTAGGTAAAAGTCCTTATTGTTTAATATATAGACTATTAAACCTATATTATATAACTATTTGTTTTTTTAATTTAAATGGTTGTGATAGGCCTTATAAGTGTAATATTTGCCTTCTTAGTTGTCCTCTTCTAGAGGCTGGTTAGCTTAAGAGTTTATAGTGAAAGTTGCCCTTTCTTTGCCTTTAAAAGGCTGTAGGTTTAAATCTAGGTTGTTAACCTTTTCTTTAGGTCTTTTATACCCTTTATTTCCCTACTTATAAGGTTTCTTATCCTTATTAAAGGGATTCTTATATTCTTTAGTAGAGTTACCCTTATTAGAAGGGTTATTATTCTTACTATAATTATTAGATATAGGCGTATTATTTTTACGCCGGTTTTTGTCTAATATATTGTTAATAAGGGCTTCTAGAGAAGGAGGCTCTTTAGTTCTTAAAGCACTTCTCTATCTTTCTGCCTAGACAGAAAAATAGCCACTTAAAGCTACTATAAAGACCGTTTTTAGTCTATATCTTCTATTTTAGCCCCTACGTTATTTAACTTAGAGATATAACCTTTAAAAGAGCTAATAAACTTATTTAAAGTATTATAATTCTCTAGTTTAATAGCGTAAAATTCTAAGTATAATTATTACCTTAGAACAGGGCCTGTTCCCTTATAGGATAATTTTAGTATATTTAAAGTATCCTTAGGATCCTTTAAATTAAATACTAAAGATAAGGGATCTTTTTGAAGATTCTGCCTTATAATTAACAAGGCTTGTGTTTTTTATTCTTTAGAGATATCCTTATATCTTATCTCTTCTTTAAAATAAGTATTAAGCTTTAATAGCTTAAAAAAGAGATAAATAGAAGTAATCTAGGAATTCTAATTCTTTATACCCTAAAGACGTTATTCTAGAGGCAATAAACAGCCTGTAGTAGCCTTAATAATATCTGCTATTTTTTTTTTCTAGTATTTTACTAGATTTAAATAGGTATTCTTACTTATAGAGGTCTTACTTTTTCTGCCTCTTTATAAATATATATCTTTATATATATAAGATATATAGGCAGCTAGAGGATTTTATAGCTGCTATTAAGACTTATGCTACCTCTTAGATAAAGGACCTTATGCTGCCTATAGTAGGACTTATACTGCCTTTATCTATAGTAGATATTTAATACTTCTCTTAGTTATAAGAGATACTAAGGGCTTACTCTTTCTGCCTTAATATTCTTATAAAGAAAAGATAGTACAAGGGATCTACTTTATAGATAGATAAATAAATAGGCTACTTAAGAGTATATATAACTCTTATAGTAATAAAGATACCCTAGGTATATTACCTAGGCTTATAACCTGTTAGCATAACAGGTAAGCTAGTCTCTTAAATAGAGAATTCTAGCTTAGGAGAATATAAGAGAGTATATCTCTTATATAAAGATATATCCTATAGAAGTAAGAATATAGGATAAAAGGGAGATATAAATGCTTATACCTAGGGTAGATAAATAGAGGATATAAGGATATATAGTTAAAAGAGAGTATAGTAGTTAGATTATTAACTATTTGCTTGCTTAGAGAGAGAAGGAAAGGAAACTAGAAACAGGAAGAATTCCAGCCCTTATATAGACCTATACAGCTTACTAGAATATTCTATACTTACGTAAGCTGCTTATAAATTAACCCTTAGTTACGTAACATAATAACCTTAAGTAAATAACCCTAACTTAAAACAATAACCTTATAGGAACAACAGAGGTAGAAGGTAGGATCTGGAGAGATCTTAGACATTCTAGTACCTTCTCTAATCTTTGGTTAATTACGTAATCAGACATACTTACGTAATCAATATATATATTAATCTACTAAGTAAGTAGATTATAAATATATATATCTTATATATATATAACCTCTATAATAGAGGAAATATAAGATAAAGAAGTATAAGAATACTTAGAGATATTCTTACTTCTAATAGTAATACTATTTATCTCTTAGTTATATATAAAGGTAAGAGGGTTTAGTAGTAGTAGTTCCCTCTAGATCTTAATCTATATAATAAATAGGAATTTATAGTAATAAAGAATAAATAGACTACTAATAATACTACTATTAAATAGTTAAAAAAGGTTTTTTTCCTTTAGACTAAGCCTTCTTAACCTAATTAGGCTAGACTACTTATCCTAAATAAGTATAAAAGCTATATAATAATAAATTTTATATAGTTATACTATACTAATAATATCTATTTATTATTTTTACTATTATATACCTCTTATATCCTCTAGCTACTTAACTAGTTAGTCTTTAGCCTTATTAAGGTAGTATATTAAAAGGAGCTTAAATATCTTAGTTAGTAGATTAACTTTACTATTATAAGCAAAAAGAACTTTATTTCTTACTATTAAAAGGCTTACTTAGCTAGGTTATTAAAAGGTAATATTAAGAGTAGCTAGAAATACACTAGGTTATAGCCTGTTAGTGTTATAAAGCTACTTATAAATAAGCTACTAGTTTAAAAAGTAAAAATAACACTATTAACACTATTAATACTACTTAATCTAGCTACTAGAGATATATCTATAGCCTAGGATACTTAGGGTATAAATAACTAGGTATTAGCCTTATTAGTAGTAAAGTAGTCTACACTAAGGAAGGTAAAGGACCTTAGGGCCTAACTACAGCTCTTTAGCTAGCTAGAACAAAATATTACCACTTAACGCTAACTATTTAGAAAGGTTAAAAAAGGCTTCTAAGAGTAGTTATATATACTAGCTGCTGCCTAGTAAAAAATTAGCCTTCTAGAAGCCTAGGTTACTAACAGTAAAGCAAGGAAACAGAAGGCTGTTTATATAGATCCTAATATAAAGTTTATAACAATTAGAGAGGTGTAGTAAGCCTAAATAGAGGCTGGTGACGTTAAAAGTAATACAGATAAACCTGACGTATCTAATTTACCTAGTGAGGCCGAAAGTTGTATTATTGTGGTATCTAGATAATGTTGGTAGTTAATTAAATAAAGTGGTGGTTGTCATGATGGCGATGTTTTTGGGTGATTGTAATGTGGGGGTGATCGGAAAGTGGGTGCTTTGACTTACTGTCACAAAAGTAAACAGCGCTTTTTATGGCTAGCTAGTAACACCTGAGAAGAATAGCTTGAACGCATAGCCGTCATCGCGCAGGATTTCGAGAAGGATTTAAAGAGGTCTACAGGAAGTATTATAGTCATTGTTTTCATGAGGTCAATTACAGCTCGCACACACGAGTAGGTAGCAATTTGCGTTATCTTATTGTGATAGCCGGACAACAATCTTCTCCCCAGACACCTGGCCCTTCTTCACCAGCTCCATCCCCCTGACAATGTCCTCAAAGCCGCCTTCGAGCACACGCAGTGGATGATGTTGCAGTCTGCCCTCGTCGACCAGCTTTTGTGTAATCGCCCAGAGTTTGGCACCGAACTCTTTCAACTCGGGGTCGGCCGGTCGCCCGTAAGGGGCCGGCCAGGTCGAGCCGTCGCCGAAGATCGCGGGGCCCAGCACCCAGTCCGTCTTGACGACCTTCCTCGTTGCAACGTGTTGCTGGAACGGATCGAGAGATACATACTTGCCGCCAGCACGTCCGATGGCCTTGAAACACGCCTGAGTCGACTCTACGGTCGTTATGCAGTCTAGAGCATACATCAGATTGTTGGAAGTATAATTCCGCTACCCAAAGTCATTAGCTGGCTACATTTAAGACCCTCTGGGACGTTAAGTAGGCCGATTGTGTTTTAATGGGTTGGAACTCACAATCTTCTCCCCGCACTCTGGATCCCGATAGTCAAACACCTCTACTGCGCCACGGGATTTTGCCAGGTCAAAACCCTTGGGTGAGCAGACTGCTATCGGGATGAGGTTGGCGCTGGGTTTTATTAGCCAACAGCCCATACGCGGTTTCGGGTCAATGCCAATCATGACTTACAGCTTCAGCAACTGAATGGCGATGGTCCCAGTTGCGGTGCTACCACCATACACCAAAACCCAGTCAGACACACTCCGGGGTTCGTCTGGGAGCGGTAAGCCCAGAGCCCTGATGGCAAGGCCGGCGGTGCTGACACTGGCGCCGAGCGAAGATCCGGCCTCGGAGCTCCATGTTGGCGGGAGCTTCAACCAGACAGATCCGTTGGTGACGTTGAACCGCCCAAAAGCCCCATTGAACGGCGTCTCGGCAAACATGCTGTGCTGAGCACCGCATATACGATCTCCGATTCCGACCCCTTGAACATGCGAGCCGATCTCGACGACGGTCCCGGCGTAGTCTGCTCCGAAGAGGGCATTGGGTACGACAAAGTCGCCCGTCATCTTGGTGTCGCTGGGGTTAATCGCCACGGCCTCGGTGCGGACGCACACTTGGTCTGGTCCCAGAGGCGGATATGGTGCCTTGGCCGATACCACGGGCGCGCCATTACTGTCGGCGACGATGCCCTCCTGTATTGCTGGGGGCGTAAGCTCATTTATCCTCGAGGGCGACATGTTTGGCTTCTAGAACAGGAGCCTAGATTTCTTTTATTGTTGCGTCAAGTTCTTTTTCTGCTATCCCAAGCACACATGGAATTACCCTACTGAGGTGCTAATACAGGGTGGTGACATAGTTATCCGATATTAATCATTCGCAATAATAGAGGCACGGTAAGAGTATCATGCAATTATCAGTTTTCCTATGATGGCAGACAACAGGGGATGCTGGGGTATGGAAATGGGTCATGCCCTTGCATTCTCGGAGGTTCCGTCGCATGTCCTAGTCGGCTCATTTGGACCGCTTCGGGGACAGACTCCCTCGACACGCTCCGTGATTTAGTCTTTCGGCCCTGGATGCGTTGGGACCGATCGGACGCCCATGCAATTACCCTCCGAGCCTCCGAAGTATCGTGGAAAACGACGATGGCGTTGAGCCCATCTTGCCAGGATTGCCGTATTGATAGATAATAGTCACTCTAAACGCCCATAAGCTGTCTAGTGTGGCTCGCCCGTTACATATGTAATATCACGATACGTAAAAACCCGATACCAGCACTTCTGGCCCGTACCACATCTCAACCGTAGACAACTTGTACCACCGGGCGTTTCAATTCATTCTTTGAACTGAGTGTGTGCTAAACTTTTTCTGTGCTGTTCTAGTCTGGTGTTATTACACCGCACCCACGCAAACTTGAGCTAATAGACTTCCTATTGCCTATCGTCCATTGTCTTGGTCGGCAAAATTCCAGTCCCAAGCTCCCCAAGCCAAACAATTCAAGTATACTTCAAACCGGCATCCATCATGCCTTGCAGTACCACAACTTTCAAGCCAAAGGAGCCCATTGCCGTCGTTGGGATCGGCTGCCGGTTTCCCGGCGGCGCAAGCAGCCCTTCTAAACTGTGGGAGATTCTCGAAAAGCCCAGGGACCTCCTCAAGAAGGTGCCCATTGACCGGTTCAACATCGACTCGGTCTACCACGCAGACGGCTCATTCCACGGACGGACCAACGCGCCATACGCCTATTTCCTCGATGAAAACATTCGCGCGTTTGATGCAAACTTCTTCAACATTCAACACCACGAGGCGGAGGTAACCGACCCCCAGCACCGGCTACTTCTCGAGACCGTATACGAGGCCTTGGAAGCGGCCGGAATCCGTGTCGAAGACCTCCGAGGGTCCCCTACCGCTGTTTACTGCGGGCAGATGATGAACGACTACAAGGACTTGGTCAACTTTGACCTTGACGGTCTCCCGACATACGCGGCAACAGGCACGGCAGCAAGCATTCTTTCGAATCGAGTCTCATACTTTTTCGATTGGCACGGGCCAAGTGTGGGTTTACATCATTATGAGCGTCCTGGTTTCCGTCTTCTGGCTAACCCTCGTCCGCAGATGACCATTGACACAGCGTGCAGCTCATCTCTGGTCCGTAGATGCCCCCTCTTTCCCATTTCTTAATTTCTTGTGTTTGCTTTCTGACGCTTCGAAACAGGTTGCTGTCCACCATGCAGTCCAACAGCTTCGAACCGGCTCTAGCAAGGTTGCCATCGCGGCAGGGGCAAATCTGATACTGGGCCCAGGTATATCACTGTCGATTCCTTCTTCCAAGTAACCTTGAGGTGCCAATTTGATCGAAACAGTTCCTTTCATCGTTGAAAGCAAGATGAACATGCTTTCGCCCACGGGGAGATCAAGCATGTGGGACGAAAAGGCCAACGGCTATGCCCGGTAAGAATCCTAGGACCCGAGGTAGTGATGTCAAGATTTGCAAAACGCTGACGTTTTCCCCCAAATTTACAGCGGAGTAAGAACACTGCGATTATTTCGAGTCCCGGTGCGATAATGTTGTAGAAGTGCTAACGATGCCCTCTCCGTTCTATAGGAAGGTGTTGCTGCTGTTGTGCTCAAGACTCTTAGTCAGGCACTGAGCGACGGTGACAACATTGAATGCATTATCAGAGAGACTGGCGTTAACCAAGATGGTCGATCCCCCGGCATAACAATGCCCAGCCACCGAGCACAGGAGGCCCTGATCCGTGAGACGTACGCGGCAGCAGGGCTCGACCTGTCCCGTGCCGAGGACCGATGCCAGTATTTCGAGGCTCACGGTGAGTCGGTGTACATTATTATCAATTGAGAAAGGATCCAAAGAATCTGACGTTCCGGCATCATATCAGGAACCGGAACCTCTGCAGGAGATCCACAGGAAGCTGAGGCTATAGCACGATCCTTTTTCGGGAGCAGGGGACGATCTCCGGAAGAAGCACCGCTGTACGTGGGCAGCATCAAGACAGTCATAGGTCACGCGGAGGGCACCGCGGGCGTCGCCGGACGTGAGTGATATGCAATCATTGACAACCCGCGGCTTGGTCCGGGCACGCTTGCTAACACTTATTCGAATGACTGGCAGTTATAAAGGCGTCCCTGGCGATGCAGCACCGAGTGATACCGCCAAACATGCTCTTCGATAAGCTTTCTCCTAAGGTGGCCCCGTTCTACCAGAATCTCCACGTTCCCTCTAAGGCGCAGCCGTGGCCAGAACTCCCTCCGGACGTTCCGATAAGGGCGAGCGTCAACTCTTTCGGTAATACCCCCAAAAGAACTGGCGATCCACACCAAGTAGGGAACGATTGAGCTGACCCAACATGTCACGGCAGGTTTTGGAGGCACCAACGCGCATGTCATCCTCGAAGCCCATCCCGACTCGGAGCTACGTCTGCGACGGACATCCCAGTGCTCCTCTGCAGTGCCGATATGGCCCATTCCCATAACTGCGAACTCGGAGCTCTCCCTCAAAGCCACGGCGCAAGACTTGTTACAGTACCTCCGATCGGCTTCCGGCATACAGATCCAGGATCTGGCATGGACACTGACCAACAGACGGTCTGTATTACCCGTACGCCGCGCCCTCACGGCGCAGACAATACCGGGAGTGTGTGCAGCCCTCGAAGCGACCATTGCGTCCATCGACAAGAAAGAGGGTCTCGTCGTGTCGAGCTTGTCCACCCGGAAGCCTAAGGTCCTGGGTGTGTTCACTGGACAAGGCGCACAATGGTCCGCGATGGGCAAGATCCTAATCTCGGCCGTTCCTCACGCCCGCAACGTAATCTCCCAGCTGGATCAGTCGTTGAGCAGCCTACCTCCACGCTATCGGCCATCATGGACCCTGTACGACCAGCTCATGCTCGAGGGTGACAGCTCCAACGTCTACGATGCCCGCTTCTCCCAGCCCCTCTGCTGCGCGATCCAGATCATCCTAGTGCAGATGCTCACGGCAACCGGCATCAAGTTCGAGGTGGTCGTCGGGCACAGCTCCGGCGAGATCGCGTGTGCTTACGCGGCAGGATTCATCACCGCCTCCAAGGCGATTCGCATCGCTTACTTACGGGGTCTTGTGTCGGACAAGGCGGCGTCGCCCAGTGGTGTAGAGGGCGCAATGTTGGCTGCGGGCTGCTCCCAAGAAGACGCCGAGGAACTCTGCGGTCTAAATGTCTTCCGTGGTCGGATCTGCGTGTAAGTCATGTCTGAATGTCTGGAACATTAGATCTGGACAAAAACGCTAACTTCTTCCCCTTTTAATTACTCAGTGCCGCAAGCAATGCACCGGACAGTGTCACCATCTCGGGCGATGCCGATGCCATTGAAGAGGCCCGCGAGGTCCTAGAAGACGAGTCTAAATTTGCGAGACAGCTTAAAGTCAACAAGGCTTATCACTCCTTCCACATGAAGCCATGCGCAGAGCCTTACATGAGAGCTCTGCAAGACTCAGAATGCGACGCCGTCGACGCCAACACCACCAGCACTGCCGAGCCATCCACGGTATGGATCTCTTCAGTGCAAGCAGGCCATCGCATGAGGGGGCAGGACGTCACCGCCAACTACTGGAAGGACAATCTCCTCTCGCCTGTGCTATTCTCGCAGGCTGTCGAGCATGTGGCGAGGAATCTGGAGCCGGTGGACCTTGCTATTGAGGTCGGCTGCCATCCCGCTCTCAAGGGCCCGTGTCTCAAGACCATCAAAGAATGCGTCGAGCCCGGCGCTCCCGAGCTCCCATACGTCGGATGCATGCGGCGAGGTGCCGACGACCTCGATGCTTTTGCAGACGCGCTCGGGTACGTCTGGGAGCGCTTCGGTACCGAGAGTGTGAGCCTCGCCGGGTTAAACGAGATCCTGCCACAGACGCCGGTGAACAGCCTCGCCAAGGCGCTGCCTCCGTACCCGTGGGACCGGTCCAAGTCATACTGGCTGGATACCCGGCGGACTCGCTTTTTCCTCCGCGGAGGCGAACCCAAGCCGCATCTCCTGCTGGGGAAGCTCTCGGCGGACAGCACTTCGACGGCATTGCAGTGGCGCAACTCGATCCGGCCAAGGGACATATCGTGGCTGGACAGTCACCAGCTACAGGGCCAGACGGTCTTTCCCGGTGCCGGCTACGTTGTCATGGTAGCTGAGGCCGCCATGCACGTCGCCAAAGGCCGATCCGTGCAGCTTCTGGAGGTATTTGACGTTGAGATATTCAAAGCCGTGACATTTGACAACGAGAGCAGCCTCGTTGAGCTAAGCCTATCCCTCGAGGTCTATCCGGCGCCCGCGAGCGCCCATCATGTCTCGGCCTCCTTCCGGATAGACTGCTGTCTATCTAGAGAGGACGCCATGTCCCCGTCGACCAGCGGCAAACTCATCATCACTTACGGCCCTGGCGCCCCCGACACCCTGCCGGTTGCGCATGTCGAGCCGCCACACATGAGCAACATCAGCGTCGACGCGTTTTACAAGGAGCTCTCGGCGGTCGGCTACGGCTACACCAACGACTTTCGCGGCCTTTCCAGCATGAGGCGGGCCGACTTCAAAGCCTGCGGCTCCATGAGGCTACCCCATGCAGGATCGGCGGATGGCGACGATCAACTGCTGCTACACCCCGCCACCCTGGACAATGCTTTCCAAACCCTCATAGCTGCCGTATCGGCCCCGGGCGACGGACTGATGCGCTCACTGCTGGTGCCGACATCGATCGGCCGGATCGCGCTTAACCCTTGGCTCTGCGGCGAGGTGTCAAGGTCTAGCGAGGAAGTGCACTACAACGCGACCAGCACCACGAGCCGGATCAGCTCGATCAGCGGCGACATCGAGGTCTTCGATCCCAGGACCGGGCACATCATGTTCCAGGTCGAGGGTATCAGCACCAAGGCGGCCTCGGCCGCGACGAAGGCCAATGATCATACAATGTTCATGCATTGGGAGTGGGACCGGCTCGTGCCTGACAAACTCCTCAACAGGGCCGAGTATGCGGCGACAGACGCCGACAGGGAAGTGGCCTCTGCCATGGAACGCATCGTCTATTTTTACATCAGGTCCTTCTTGGAAGACCATGCGGCCGAGAAACTGGCTGATCTCGCTCCCCACCATCAGACGCAGATCCGGTGGTTCCAGCACAAGATGGACGAAGCCAGGCAAGGCCGGAGCCTGTTCTACCAGGCGGAGTGGGAGAGGGACCAGCAGGCCGACATCCAGAGCGTCATCGCCAGACATGAAGCCAACTCGCACGTGAGGCTGATCCAGCGGGTCGGCGAGGGCCTCCGGGACGTCTTCTTCGATGGTAGGAACGCGTTCGAGCTCATGGACCACGACGGGCTGCTGAGCGAGTTCTACGGGAGCGACTCCGGGTTCGGCCCGGCGTACTACTACATGCAGCATGCCATCGCCCCCATCTTGCATCGGTACCAAAAGATGGACATCCTGGAAATCGGTGCGGGCACTGGAGGGGCGACGAGATACATTCTGGACCAGGACCCAGCTCCGGCGTTCAACAGCTACACCTTTACCGACATCTCGACGAGCTTCTTCGAAAAGGCCCACGAGACATTTGCCCAATTCGAAGACAAGATGGAGTTCCAGGCCCTTGATGTCAGGCGCAGCCCGGTGGAGCAAGGGTTCACACCGCACTCGTACGACCTCATCATCGCCTCCAACGTCCTGCACGCGACACCGAACTTGCAGGAGACCATGGCCAACGTGAGGACGCTGCTCAAGCCCGGCGGCAACATTGTTGTCGTCGAGCTCACCAGCCCACGCCACTCCCGCATCGGGTTCATATTCGGCCTCTTCGCGGACTGGTGGGCCGGGGTCGACGACGACCGGGTGCTGCAGCCGTACGTGTCCATCGAGAGGTGGGATGGCATCCTCAGAAAGACGGGCTTTTCGGGCGTGGCCAGCAAGTTCGAGGACCCGGAGGACGAGATATTCCCCACGTCCGTGTTCCGGTCCGAGGCCGTCAACGATAAGGTAGCGCGGCTGTACGAGCCGCTGCTCTTCCCTGCCAGGGATCCGAGCCCAACTGTCGTCGTCGTCGGAGGCGCAACGCCGAAGTCGTCGAGGATCTGCCGGGGGATACAGAAAATCCTCCCGGCACGTCGTTTCGAGCTGCTCCAGAGTCTCGAGGACGTGGGCGCAGGCTGGCTCGGTTCCGATGTCAAGCCCACTTTCCTGGTCCTCTCGGAGCTGGACGACCCGGTGTTCGCCGGCATGAACGAGGCCAGGTTCGAGGCCCTCAAGGTCCTCGGCGAAGCCGCCGGGCATATGCTCTGGGTAACGGAGGACGCGTGGCTGGACCCCGTCAAGGCGATGGCTATTGGTTTCCTCCGTACCCTGCGTCTAGAATGCGTCCAGTGCGGCATCCAAGTCTTAGACGTGGACGACGCCGACAAGCTGGGTTGGGAGTACCTGGCAGAAACCCTCCTCCGGCTAGAGGAGTGTTCGGACTGGCAGGATGCCGGGCTACTGTGGACATTGGAGCCGGAGATCTACGTCTCACAGGGCCTCGCTCGCATCCCCCGTCTCAAGCCAAACAGACCCATGAACGACCGTCTGAATTCGGGACGCAGGGAAGTGCTGGCCGACGCGGATCCAAAGACTACGCCCGTGGTCCTCTACCAGGACGATGACGCTGCCTATCTCCAGTCCAACGACACTTACGAACCGGATGTCAAGGAGGGTCCAGGCTTCAGCTGCAAACCCCTAACTAGCAGACTGCGGGTACTTCACTCCCTCGCAAGAGCCGTCCGCCTCGGCAACTTCGGATACTTCAATGTTGTCCACGGCATCTCGGTAAGCAGCGGCGAGGCCGTCATTGCCCTCTGCGAGGAAAACGGCTCGCTGGTCGATGCCGCTCCCGACCGGGTCGCCCATCTGCCAGGCCAAGCCAGGCCAGCCCTCCTCCTCGCGGTCGCGGCAGATCTCCTGGCGCAGACACTGGTGGCGGAGACCGCGCCGGGGGCGCATATACTCATCTACGGCGCTCCCAGGATATACGAAGACCGCATCGCCCAGAGAGTCAAGGCCAAAGGGATCCGCGCCACCTTCGCCTCGGTCCGTCCGAGAACCGCGGAAGACGATGACGCGGCCGGCGAGGACTCCTCCTCCTCCTCCTGGTCGTCATGGATACAGCTACACGAGAACATGACCCAGCTCGCGCTCTCCAGGATGCTCCCGCGTCACGTCAGCGCCTTTTACAACTTCTCCCTCGACCGGAGCCCCGTCGGCGCGGGCCAGGTCCTCTCCAAGCGCTTCGCCGCGCGGAGCTGTCCGACGTTTCAGGCGGAGCACCTCGCGTCCCTGACCGCGTCGGCGTGGACCCGGCAAACGGGGAACGCCCTGGGCGCGATGCTGGACGAGTCCGTGAAGGTGTGTCTTGCTGCTGCAGCTGCTGCTGGCGTCGGAGCGGCGAAAGATGTCCACGCGACTCCGGCGCAAGAGCTCGTCACGCTTCAGCGCCGCGTCGGCTACTCCACCGTCATCGACTGGACCTTGCATGACGTTCTCTCGGCACGGGTGCTTCCTGTGGATTCCGGGAGACTGTTCTCGGACGACAAGACGTACCTGCTGATCGGCCTCACTGGAGATCTCGGCCGCTCCATCTGCCGCTGGATGCTCGGGCATGGCGCCAAGCATGTCGTGCTTTCCAGTCGACACCCACAGGTTGAGGATAGATGGCTTGCGGAGATGCAAGAGCTCGGTGGGAACGTTATGGTCTTGCCAATGTAAGTTAACCCCCTTCTTGGCCGTCAAACCTGTTCTCCTGTCGACCCCAGCATCCCACTCACCACCGAACACCCGCAGGGACGTCGCCAATCAAAAGTCTTTGGATACAGGCTTAGACATGATCCGAAAGTCATTCCCGCCCATCGGTGGCGTAGCCTTTGGGCCTCTTGTGTAAGCTGGGATTCTTCCTTCCACGGTTTTACCAACATGACACGATCTCTAACCGGGTTATCCCCCCCCCCCTTCACGCAGTTTGAAAGACGTCCTCCTGAAAAACATGCAGCTCGACCAGATGCAGACGGTCCTTCACCCTAAAGTCACGGGCGCCCGCCTGTTGCAGGAGCGGCTCGACGAGCGGGAGCACCGGCTCGAGTTCTTCGTCATGTTCTCCTCGTTCGTCATGGTGTGCGGCAACCCAGGCCAGAGCGCCTACAGCGCGGCCAACGCGTACACGCATGCCCTCGCCCTGCGGCGCCGCGCCTGCGGGCTGGCGGGCTCGACCATCGACATGGGCGCCATCTGGGGCGTGGGCTACATCGTCCGGCAGGGCAGGGACGAGGAGTACGAGACCATCAGCTTCAAGTTCGACAAGGTCTCGGAGATGGAGCTGCACGCCCTTTTCGCCGAGGCCGTCGTGGTCGGCCGTCCCGGTCCGAGCAGCAGCAGCAACGACGCCACGCAGCGCGATGAGATCGAGGTCATCACCGGAATGCGGTTCCTCGACCCGACGAATAAAGAGCTCATCCCCCATTACGACGATCCCCGGCTAGGTCACTTCATACTGAGAGAGAAGCGGGAGAGCGCCGCTGGCGGGGCCACGACTCTGGTGTCTGTCAAGGAGCGCCTGCTGGAGGCCGAGTCCGTGGACGAGGTTTGCCAGATTGTTGGAGGTACGAACGGTGCCGACCATTGCTCTCGCAAACGCGGTCCCTTTTACTTTTTCTTTTTTGTTTTTATCACAGGGGAAAGTTTTACTGATTTGCCGGTGAATACAGACGGCTTGGCCGAAAAGCTCCGGGCCACGCTGCAAATAACCCACGAAGACGGCGTGAAGCGGGATACTCCTCTCATAGACCAAGGGGTCGACTCGCTGAGCGCAGTCACGATTGGAACCTGGTATGCTCCCCCTCCCGCTCCTTGATACGATTTACCTCCCAAGGCAACACACTCTAACAGTCATGATAGGTTCTCTAAGAATCTCAACCTCGAGCTGCCCGTGCTAAAGATTCTGGGCGGAGCCTCCATCAATGACCTGGCCGAGGAAGCCGCCGAACGACTACCTCCCAGCGCTACTCCGTTGGTCCACTGCTCCGACCTGAAAGTGCCGGTTGCCGTCCAGAGCAGCAGCGACGACTCGGCATCCTCGCGTTCGTCAGACACCGAGCCCTCGTCCGTTTCCACGTCTCCGCCCTTGACTGCCATTCCCGGGAACAAAGTGGGGGATACACTACCATTCGAGCGCAAGGCGTCCATGTCCCTCAACCAGGAGTACTCTTGGAAGATGCAGAGGCAGTCGGCCGACCCGACCAGGTTCAACTCGACCATCGGCATGTACATGAAGGGCTACATAGACCTGGACCGCATGGCCTGGGCCTTCGAGGCCGTTTTGAGGCGCCACAAGATCTTCCAGACCCGCTTCCCTAGCTCGGGCGAGACCGTGCAGATAATCATGGACGCGCCCCGCATCAGGTTCCGAGCTGTCCCCGTGGCTGACAGGGCCGCCGCTGAGCAAGGGTTCAAGGACGTCGACGGCCAGAGCTACGACCTCGCGGCGGGGGACACACTCAAACTGGTCGACTTTTACTGGGCGCCGGACGAGCATATCGTCATCATCGCCTACAACCAGCTTGTCTGCGACGGCTGGACCTACGAGCGCCTCTTCGTGGAGCTCGCGCAGATATACGACGGCAACAACGACCTGCCGCCGGCGCCCCAGTACGCCGACTTCGCCGCCCGACAGCGGGCGGCCTATGAGAAGGGCGGCATGGACGCGGACCTGGCCTACTGGAAGTCCCTGCACGAGGCACTCCCGGAGCCGCTCCCCGTCCTGTCTCTGCCGCCGGGTTCTCCGCCGGCCGCCGCGGGAGACCCCAAGCCCCCGCCCTCGTGGGACCAGCACGTCCTCAAGGCGCGCGTGAGCCCGGCCACGGCATCCCGCATCCGGAACGTCTGCCGCAGGTCCAAGGCGACGCCGATGCAGTTCTACCTCGCCTCGTACTACGTCCTCCTGGCGCGGCTCACGGGCAGGGCGGACATGGCCATCGGCGTGGCGGACGCCAACCGGCCGGACCTCGACGACCTCTCGACCATGGGTCTCTTCCTCAACATGCTGCTGCTGCGGCTGGGCCACACGGCCGGCGACACCTTTGCGTCGGCACTCTCGCGGGCCAGGGAGCACATGCGCGGCGCAGTACTGCACTCGCGGGCGCCGATGCACGTCGTCCTCGAGGGCCTGGGCGTCGACTCGGCGAAGCCGCACGCCTTCATGCAGGCAGTCTTCGACTACAAGCAGGGTCAGGCCGAGAGCGGCGCCCTCGGCGAGGCGCACATGGCGGGGGTCCTGGCGTCGCGGTCCCGCACGCCGTATGACATCACGCTGGAGATGTCGGACGACCCTTCCAAGAGCCCGCTGCTCACCTTCAAGCTTCAGTCCTCGCAGTACAGCCCTCGGGACGTGCGCGAGGTCATGGGGAGCTTCATGTCGTTACTCGACGCGTTCTCGCGGGACCAGGGGACTCTCATCAGCGAGGCTCAGTTAGATTGGGATGATGTGCAGTTTGCTTTTGAGGAATAGTCGTCAAGGCTTGTGTCGTGGCATATTCTCCACTTGGATCAAGATGTAGTTAGACAGTTTGCACACCAGGATGTGGGGAGACAATCAAGAAGTGTGCTCTGTTAGTAACAGCCTTGTTAAGCAGTCTCGAAGCGAAGATAGAGGAGGCTAAAGGTAGACGGCGCCAGCATATAACTGAATCACAGCCCCTATATAGGTAGCTGTCAAGGACAAGAAGCCGTTACAGAGGTGCAGGGCCGGCGACCATGCAATAAGGTAGAAGCCGTTACTAGTAAAGTATGTACACGGCAGCGGTAATCCTTAATTGATTGCGTGGTTGTTCCTATCTTCTAGCGTTGCCATCGCCGATTGGCCCTTGTTCTTTTGATTCTATATATAAGAGAGATATCATAGAAGTACTCTTTCCTGGTGTAGAACTTATAGTTAGTAAACTATGTCTCTTAATACTTTACAGCTGTCCTAGCTTTAGAATATTATGTAGTATAGCTCAATTAATATGTTTCAATAGTACGAGGGTAGTAGGAAGTACGCAACTTGCTATACGTGTATGTTATATAATCTATCTTCCCATGCCTTGACTCCCCCTACCCAACTTAGGGCCAAACCGATATCTCCATGTGAGGCCCTCCCCACTGATGACCGTTGCTTACCACAGCACTTAAATCGTCGCGCCACTCCTCGTTGTCTTGTAGCATGAACTTGCATCCGCTTCTTATGTTGGCACTATCTATGTCGCTAGAGTTTAACCAGCAATTGCCAGGGTACCCGCCGGTGACCCAGTTTACAGCCGCCGCCCGTTGCAAAGCCAGATGCCACGAGAATGTCGACTCTCGGACGCCGATGAAGTAACCCGAGTGCTCCAGGATCAGCATGTCCACGAGCGCCTGCTGGTCCCAGGTCATGTTGCGCAGCGATGCGCCGGCGAAGGTGTCCTCAGGCAGCAGGTCGTTCTTGGTCACGACGGTTATTGGCGCCACATCCTTGGCGAGACGGGCGATACTGTCGGTGTCGCCGCATGCGACGTAGAGCACCGACTTCTCCGTGTCCGGCAGAGTCATGTCGGGAGGATGCGTGGCGTTACCATTGCGCCCCCTTAGCCGTCGCTTGAGGTAAGCGAGCTGATCCTCGTACGAGAGGTAGTGGTAGTCTGTGGCGTCCTTCTCAACACGCAGGTGGACGCCGATAAAGGCGTTGTCGCGGACCCTCGGGTCTTCGCTGGTCCGGAAGTCGACATGCGCGTTGTACTGGTCCTGCATCCGCTGGAGAGCCGCGGCGGCCAGAAGCTTGATTTCGTCGCGAGGACGTACAAGCCCACTGAAGTGACGCACCATGAAGGGCGGGTCATACCCTACCGGCCAGCCGAACATGATGGAGACAATTCCGAAACTCACCGGCGACTCGGCCGACGGTGGTTTCCCTTCTGTTGATGATTCTAGCCACTTATCAAGGGCCGGAGGCCATTGCTCGGGCTTTGTAGGTACGGCATATGTTGCAGGCTTCCCCGGCTCATTGTAGTTTTCGAGTTGCAGATCAATGACTGGGCAAATGTTAGGGAGAGTGCGGATCCGTGCATCCTTATATTCCGTTGGGTGTATGACGAGGTCGGGGCAGTGTTTTCCTAGAGTCCTCAGGAAGCGCGATTCATCAATCATATAATCAAGTTTGACATGATCGCTTGTTTGAAAGTTCGATCACATCGTCGGCGCTTCGACGAGCGAGTTGTGGCAGCTTCATGGATACTGGATGAGAACGTAGATTACTTTAGCACGTGGTTTATTCTGACAGGGAGAGTATAATGGTGGGAAAGGAGAATACCTCTGGCCTCGATAACGTAACGAAGACACTGCAAGATGGTCAGGCGAACATTACCAAAGCCTCCCTCGAGTACGGGACACTCGATGATGATGTTCGGATTCCACGGTCTATTCCCCTGACTGCATAGCGTAGCGAGATGGGCGCCGTTGTCGTTGCCGGTGATTTCTTGACGGGACCATTCTGGGTAGCAGCAGGCCTTTGTTAGCCAAACCCCAAGTTCAACTGTCCGCTCCTTGCCTGGTTTCTGTTTCCTTACCTTGTAACCGGCTCTCCTCCAAGGTTGACTGAGGAGATTTTTTAAGCTCTCCCGCCGAAGACAGAGCCTGTCCTGGTTCGGGCGCAAGCAAGCCTTCACTAGTGTAGCTACTCGGGATACCCACGTTCTGCTCTGCTTGTGCTGTGCTAAGGTCTCGTATTGAGAAGCCGTAGAAGTTCAGTACGAAAGTGATGATGACACTCGCGATGATCGCCTGGTTGAGAATAGTGCAATATTTGCGTTGGGATCTTGATCGCGTTATTGACACAATGACTGGTGAGAGCATCTTGCTAAGGGGCTGAGGGGAAAAGAAAGTACACAAAAAACTTAGAGGGACTACGTTGAGAGAATCATTGAGAGGGGGGGATTTTGAGAATTATAAGGAGCAAAGACGGGAGTAAAAACGTGCAGTAAAAGAGAGTATTACCTAGTCACAGGTAAGGTGTTAGGTAGTGGTAGAGGAGGCATTGAGACCTTCCTCTTTGTTAATATGCATTCCACTAGACTAGTCTTTCTATATCCGAGGGGTCCTGGGAAGAAACCGTCAAGACCCCATTCTCCGGGGTAAGGACTGCTGAATCTGGGAAAAGTCCGAACCAAGACCAAGGCTATTAGGCTCTGATCTTCTCTTTGCCAATCGCCATTCGCTAGTCGCCAGTCTGATGTAAGCTGTATATAAAAGTGCCCAGAAGCCCTTCCGAACACGTTCTCAGGCCGCTAAACCTCTTTTGGCTGTAATCTTGCTTCCGGATCCGTTTGCTTCTTAGAGCTAGAATTATGGAATGTTCCTCTCTTTGTCAGTGGCTGAGATAGACCGGATTAGGTACAGACTATGCTTATTGTCAGCTTTCTACCACACATCCTAGAATCCTAGAAACCTCTACTAGTCGCCAGGGTCTAATACTAGAGACAACACTATAGATCAACACGCTGTAGATACAGTAGGCGGTAAGAGGTACGCTAAAGCCTATTGCGGCAGTACATTATCATTAACTGTTACGCTGGTGGCAGAGTTAGTGGCGAAGTACTGCTGGCGATTGGCGTTTGGCGATCGGCAACGAGAAGATCAGGGCCTAAAGGGTAGAACCGCGATGGAAATGCTGGTGACAGGCCAGCTGCTGATTGCCTAGACAGTTAGACTGTTAGCAATACAAGGGTGGACTGTGAAGGATAGGAAACACGATTATGCTGTGGTGGCCACTGCTTTCCTTTGCTACTACACCTCAGACGTAGGTTGTTTATCCCTTTAAGTGCTACCGGACCTCACATAACCCAAAAGTAGGTCTCTATAAGTAATTACGAACAGCTATTAGATACTTAGCCTGGATTGCTGTAGTCTTATTGGTCGGAGGTTATGTGAGGTCCAGTGGCACCCAAAGGGATAATATAATATGGATATGAATCATAATATTATATTATGCTATAATACAATCATGTCACATTCTCTATGCGATATTATGCTTTGTATTTTCTTCAAACCCTCTGTCTACTAGATTGCCTACTGTATAACACTCTACCCCCTACAGAAGAACTCTTCGCTTTTGTAGCCTAAGGCTGTGGGTTGAGAGCGACTATAAGACTGGCTGCAACAAGAGTATTCCTTAGGGTTTCCTATGTTCAGGCATGTATTAGGTTAATCGTTCAATGTATTCATACCATTGTTCGACAGCTAGAAGCAGGGCGCGAACGTGAAAGAAGTTGCGCTGGCCACTGAAGCGCTCCGGGCAGGCAGTGCATAGCGTCAGCGAATGGACAAGCACCATGGCCAGCAACCTCGTCAACATGCATGGTAGCCGAAAGACGATGGCCAGATTCATGGCCCGTTCAGAGTCTACCTGGGCCAAGTCTGTAAACCAGCGCCATGAAATGATAGCTACAGATTGGGACGATGTCTTCAAGATGCCCTAGTAAGTTCCCCTGAAACGACAATCCGCGTCTCAAACCCTTCACAACACTTTCCAATAGGATTTGAAGGTTCCGTTCATTGTTTGCATGCTGATTTAATCAACATCGCTAACGAACGATCCGCCGTACAGGTACGCTGCTGTCGACTAGTCAAGTTATGGAGCACACCCATATAGCATTTGAGATTTCATGCCCGCATCTTATGACTGGGGTGTTGAGCATATTGGCCGCCTGGGAGATGGTGGCAAGTGGGTGTGCGGCATGTCCCAATGCGAGGACTATGCTAAAGACCGGGAATGCGTCATGTATTCTTTCGGTGTTCGTGACGAGTCCAGCTTCGGTAAGCAGCATGTGCGATTTCCCCTGTAGTTATGCTGTCTGATCAAGCAGCGAATGCGCGGTACACTGATATCCTGTTACTTAAAGAACAAGAAATGCCGAGCCGCACCGATTGTGTTGTATGGGTCTATGATTTTTCAGTTAAGGACTTCGGATCACAGGTCGACAGTAAGCACCATGACCAAGCTCACTTTAAGCAAATTGGTATTGCTGGCACGACAGATACCACCCTTTTTTACAGTATTGCAGACTTGATGGAAATGAACGGCCATGATTACATGTAAAAGTTCCCCTATATCCTTCTGTCTACTGCAAAACTAATGTAAACGATACATAGTGACATTCTCAAAATGGACATCGACGAAGCCAAATATGATGCTTTGGACAGTCTACACCGCGACTTTCCTGCATCCACCGGTGAAGAGCTGCCTATCGGCCAGCTGATGGTTGAAATTCATATATATGACAACAAAAACTCAATGATTGTGCTTGACTGGTGGGAGCGCCTAGAGGCGCGCGGCCTGTGTTCCGCTTAGATAAAGCCTAATTTGCCTGCTATTACTGTAAGAGTGTGCGGAAATAACCAGGATCCATGTATGGCCGAGTATACTATGATGAATGTGCATGATAGCAGAAGCATATTGTTTCAAGGTGCTCAGAATATCCCTCAGGGTTTTGCAATTTTGTAAACTCGGGATAAGTTTACTAGTTTTGTCCTTTTAATGCAAATCAAAACCTTGCTAGTTAGTAGACAGAAATAACACATACTAACAGTTTAAGTATGTAGTGATAAGAGCATATTGTGTCCCTGGCGATTAAGAAGGCAAGGGAGCTGGATCACTCCAGATGGAAAAGGGCATGGCAGATACAAGAGGGGAGAAGGGCCCCTTTCTGCGTTGCACAAAAAACCTGGTGAGTTTCAAGGAAAAGGCGTTTGGACTTGATGCTTTTTGCAACAGCACCCCTAGCCACACTTTTCGCAGTGGAGCCAATTGATCACGTTGCGTAGTATTGCTTGAGTCGTGGCCAAGTACGGATATACGGAGTACGGATACATACGGAGGAATCTACAGAGAAGCTGATAATGCCCCCCACGTCGGTCAACACAAGAGTACCGTGCGTAATAGATCTCATCTACGGAGTACTATTAGTGGATGTGCTTAGAACCCTATCATATTCCATTACCAAACCAATAGTAGTAAGATCTCAACCCAAGTCCCAACCCACCCTAGCAACTAACCCTACTTTGGACTAGTAAAGAGCACGGTACTCCTGGGTTGACAAGGGGCGGACATTATCAGCTTATCTGGTCACTCCCTTGACTAGCGAGTACTCTTGACTAGCCAATGCCAGCCATACTACGTAGATAAAACGGCGTGCCCTCCACAATTCATGCTCAAAGATAGAATATCATGCCATCCATAATTAATACTCATAGATGAGATGGCAGGTTGATCGGCTTGCTTTGGGCTTGCTTTGGGCTTGCTTTGGGCTTGCTTTGCCCAATGAGCGCTTAACGAGCAACGAGACATCTCACCACGTGGCGCGTATACAGAAGCGGCTGGTTTTCATCCTAACGCGGGTAGAGCTATCATTGAAGAACGGATCCGAGCGTCAGCCAGCCCCCGCATGGCTACCCTGGACTACTGCGTGGTAATATGATTACTCACCTGCGTGAACCTTGCGATACGCATACTATGTACGCACTAGCCTATTGAAACATTGTCACCCAACGTTGCAATGTCGTATTTCGTCTTGGAACCCCACAAGGTTGTCGAGAGAGCAGCCATTATCCTTACCTGGACTTCTCAGCCCGCCCATAAGTAGTCACTTACCAGCTCCTTCTTTTAGCCAGTCACTCGTTCAGCCAGTCACTCGTTCGGCCAGTCACTCGTTCGGCCAATCGCTCGTTCAACCAGTCATTCGTTCAGCCAGTCATCCGGAATCAACCGCCAATATGGGACAGAGCCATTGTAAGCCACGCGGCACCCCTCCACCCCCACCTCTGTGCTGTACACTGACCATGCGTTCTGTAGCATCCAGCGGCGGCGCCATCTCGGGTGCTGTAACACCCGACATGATGAACAACTTCCACACCTTCATCCAGTACACGGCGGCGGCCTACTGCAACTCGGACCCCCTCCAGACCAGCACCTCGATCTCCTGCACTAACGATGCCTGCCCCCTCATTCAAACGCATGATACCCACATCGTGACGGCTCTGGAGTAAGTCAGCACGTCTCGCATCGCCAACAGTCCGAGCACGGCTGCATCAGTTGGACTGACATACATTGCTGCAGTATTACCGAGGGGCAGGATGGGGGCTACATCGCGCTCGACAACACGGCAAAGACGATCGTAGTCGCTTTCCACGGCAGCAGCAACGTTGGTGACTGGATAACAAAGTTAGTGTCCTGCTCTTGACCTTCTGCAACGACAATGTTATAACTGACATATTGGCAAACAGCCTCGACGTCGGCTTGGTAGACTCGCCTCTGTGCTCCGGCTGCAAAGTTCACAAAGGCTTCCAGGACTCCTGGTCCGACATCCAGCAGACCGTCATGGCGATCGTCCCTGGACTTCGTAGCGTTCATGCCGACTACAACATCGTCACCACGGGCCACAGTCTGGGTGCGGCCCTGGCCACGCTGTCGGCGGCCCAACTCCGCCAGAGTATGGGTATCCCTATCGACACTTACCTCTACGGGTCTCCGCGCATCGGCAACGAGGATTTCGTTGAGTTCTTCAACGGTCTGCCGGGCCAGACGTTCCGCGTCACCCACTGGGACGATCCGGTGCCGCGACTGCCGGGTCACCAGTTTGGCTATTACCACGTCGACACAGAATATTGGCTCTCGGTGGGGGGTGCCGACAAGATCGACTACACGCCTGAAGAGGTCTTAGTCTGTCAGGGGTCGTATAACACGAATTGTAACAGCGGCACCCAGTTTACTAACCTCGACCTCGACGCACATTATCGGTATTTCCAGCGGGTTGCGGCGTGTAAGGCGTAAGGATGACGAGATGCCTTGGTAGGATCATGGTTTGAAGTCCCATCAAATCGACTCTCAACCTTCTTCTTTTCAACTTACGTCATAGCTGTGTCCCGCCATCACGGCGGTACAAAGGGACAATTACCACTGCCGGGCCATGGCCTTGCACAAGAACGCGGGACGAGGTTAGGCCGCTCTGCACATACCGAGGCCGTTGAAGCTCCCCTACCGTGATGTAAGCAGCCGCAGCGGATGACACGCAGGCCAAGCTCAGAAGTCCAAGCGTTGAAAAAGATGTTGTCTTGTAGTTGAACGTATTGAGTTTTTGTAATTCTAGCACAAAGGGGTATAGGAATGGTACAGCGGAGGCGTTGTGCGGGCGTAATATGGATGCAAATGAAGGCGTGCCTTTAACTTTTTTGAATTGAAGACTGAGATTGCGGGGGGGGGTAATATGATGTCGAGTCTTTCTCCTTCGTTAAGCTTTGTATTCGGAAGCCGAGGAAGCAGTCTTCTAGACAGTGGACAAGAGCTACACTTTCGGTAAGGCCGTATCCGGGTGTGACGGATCTGATGACATGATGGTGTATGACGGAAACATGGACATGAATCCCTATGAGTCCCACAGGTGACAGCGACAACTAGAAGATAACAGGTTCCCGGTAGATCATCGCAAAAGCCGTGTGTGATGCATCTTGTCCCGTCCAATAATTATACACGGTTTGTGATATACTACTTAGACACGATTCGGCTTTTACGGATAGACCTATAAAAACCTAACACTATATCCGCAGAGTAGATCGAATTCGTCCGCTCCGTGTTCGCGGTTTGGCACTATGGATGGGGAGTCTAGTGTGTGCTTATCGAGTCCCTAGACAGGGTTTGGTCCACTGAACAAGACTAATCAACACAAATGAGCCCCTCTACACCTTTTGCCAGATCTCGGCGTGACTCACATAGTCTTCTGCCACACAGACGGTGCAATCATATTCCAGGCAGTTATTGAATATATTTATTGCTAATGACGCCTTTCTACCGCATGAATCTTCTTGCTCACTGTTTCATTAACCTTTCCAGATAATAATTCACCCACCGCGCTCTCAATCACTATCCTGACGACCACTCACGTTCTTGTCCTCAGAGGACCCGCTTCGTAATTACTGCAGAGGGAACATTCGCAGCAAACGAAATATAAACCGAAGTCAACCGTTTACACTCGGAAATCAAGATGGAACCTTTTCTTGTCGACAATCTTACGACAGAGCGCCTCCGTCTGCGCGACTTCACTCCAAACGACACCTTACACATCCACTGCTTAGAGTCCCTACCTGAAATTGTTCAGTATCAACTTTATGAACCCATGACAGCAGCCGATGCAGCAAAATACGTAGAAAGAGCCCTCGATAGCCTACATGCTAACCCACGTGCGGTGTTGGAGTTGATTGTCGAGCTGAAGGACTCACAGCAGTTCATCGGCCGTGTGGGCATGAGTATCAGCCATGAGAAACTACATGGGGACCTGTGGTTCTCGTTCTTGCCTGCGGCACAGGGGCATGGGTACGCCGCAGAGGCCGTACAGGGTTTACTTTCGCTTGTTCCAAAGCTGAATAGCCTGGGGATCGAATGCGACCCAAAGAACGCGGGATGCAGAAAATTGGCAACCAGGTTAGGCTTTAAAGAGGTGCGGTCAGTTGAGAAGATGTTTAAGTCGAAAGGCCAGTGGGTTGGTTCAGTTGAGTATGAGAAGCGGTTAGAGCATTGATCGGCTATGTTTATGGTAGTAATTACTCTTTGGACACAAGGAGATAGGCAGAGTTTCAGCAGTAGGGGACATCCAGGAAGAAACAACCATGTATATTATAAAATTCTGTTAGCACTTTACCAAATTCTAGAGGCAATATGCATTATATGAATTGCAGTGGAACTGAACTGCTGAGGCTATCTCTATCATGTTTAACATATTTAATGGAAAGTTTATTCCATGTTTCTAGCGCAGCACCGCCAGCGGTTTAGAGAAACCCAACTATTCCTAGTCTAGTAGTTGACTGAAATACATCAGCACTCCTTGATTCACAACTGGTTGACGCAGAACGCCGCTTACAGGTACATCCGTTGTCTCATGCGAACTATAGGAAAGTACATAATCCTATGACCCCATTCTAACCGTGATTTTCATATGGCACAGGATAGGCAAGAGAAGAGTTATCTTGTAAGGTTTAGATAAAGGCTTAAGTGGTTTGGTAGGAACACTGGGAGAAATAATGGTAATTGACAGCTCGCCTGTAAATCTACTGTCTTCAAGGGTTTATTAGCTAAAGCCAAATAGAAAGAGTAACAAAAAACTTAGCAACGCTAATCCTACCTAGCAATATGACCTCCGGAAGCATAAAGTCCCTGTAGATAGCTTGAGGGATGTCATATATGACTTGTTGACTTGCTTCGGTTAAGTTGCTCAAAGAAAGACTCGTGGGGGGTGGGCCAACAGGAGCATCTGCCACACCAATAGGCCAGCTGAGATGCCCCAGGTCGCCACTGGCGGGTGTCAATGGTATCTGAGCATGCACCAAGGATTGCGAGCGGTTCCGATCTTGGCGGACGTTCAAAATTACCGTTGCGAGATAATTGACGTCCCCCAAGAGCTGATTCAATCTCGTCACATGTTTCGAGGGGGTTGGCCCAGGCATCCCCAGCGTTCTTGAGCGGTGCTAGTTGTTCCCTGGAAGCATAATCCTAACTGTCTTTCTTTTTCATATTGCTGAATCGGTCGAAGAGTTAATGATTATCGGTGTATGTCATCAGCGCTTGGATCGTCGGTGGTGCTGTCGACAGTCGAGTCTGATGAGGCTACTGTAGAGACGTATGTCGCGCCCTTACGCATGGTTTCTTTGTTTTTGCAAGAGGCATTCGCTTGTGGTAGGGTCGCGAATTGAGAGTATGTTGGCAATTTTGGCCTTGAGAACACATAGTGCTTCGGCTTTTGTCGCCTGAAGAATCAAGCCAGCCAATCCAAATAGATGCCTTGATGTCTTGCGTATCCTTGGAGCCGACAACACCATTCTCCCAAAGCAGTTTTCTATTATCCCATGCCGTATATAGGTCTGTTACATAACGTACTGTCACGGCGAAACATGTGTGGATGTAAGGCAGCGTGTGCCAAAGTTGGCAATAGAAGTTAAGTTAGACTTAACGACACAGAGACAAGATAGGAGGTGCCACTACAGTGCCTCTTGCTTGATATAACTCATTCTATGGTTTACTTGCACCTATATCCCGTTCTCACAAAGCTACTCTTCCCTTACAATATACATGTATAATAATTGGAACAATCTGGTGCGTATATCTATCCCCATTAATCTGTGTGGACCCTCGGACTTCTACAAGCCACTATCGATCTGGTCGGCAATGTTTCTCTGGGTCCAGGCCTGCCACTGGTTGCAGGTATCCAGGCTGGCTTGAGGGAGCTTGATTTGCTTCACCTTCTCGGGCTGCACTAGGAATTGGGAGAACAGGCCAGCCGATGCGTGCCAGGCGATGTGGCAGTGGAACGGCCACACGCCCGGGTTGTCGGCGGTGTCGATCTGCAGGACCATGTGGCCGTTGGCGCGTACCAGCTGGACGTCGCGGCGCTGCGGGTTCTGGGCGTCGGTGATGGTCCCGTCCCAGGTGAGCCCAGGGCCCTCAGCCAGTACATACATGTTAAATCCGTGCAAATGCATCGGGTGGCTGGCGGAGACGCGTCAGTCTAATTTACATAGAAGCAGCGTGGTAAGGGAGAAGTAAAAGGTGCGGTTGGTTAGTTGCATAGGAGACTTTGTTGGATGGACTTACGCTGCAGGACTGTTGTTGCTAATGACTATACGGATGCTGCCGTTGTTTGAATAGTTGTCGACGTTCCACTGAGCGTCAAAGGTCAAGTTACCCTTGATGGCCTGTTCGAGCGTGGGGTTGTTATAATCGCCCCGGAAGTCTTCACCCCCCAGCGACCATTGAATGATACCAGAATCGTTACGGAAGAGCTTGATCTCGAGGTTTCGGGTAACAGGGATGTTGGCAGGCGCCATCTTAAAGACGGGCTTAGTGAGGGAGAGATCATCGTTGACACAAGTTCCAGGGTCCGCGACGTCCCACGCTTGGCTAGTTGGGGCTTTTGACTGGTCGGCCTTGTCATAGTAGATGGCAGCAAGGCCGAAGGGCTGGTTGGTTGAGCTGCAGCTGCTGATGTTGCTACGCATCCAGTAGGCACTATTAGCGTTTCCGTTGGCCTTGACGAGGATATCCGTCCTCTGGCCGACGCCAAGAGTAACGACCTTTGTATCGTAGGGTTCAACTGGGACAAAGTCGTTGGCGATAACCGTGAGAGTGTGGTCATCAATAGAAAATCGCTGTGTACCTTCGGCGCCAGAGTTGATGAGGCGGAGACGGTGGGTCTTGCCTGTCTGGAATACGAACTTGGAGAGACCGGCATCATTGGTGCACTTGGTGTTGTCTCCAGGGGTGACATCAGAACAGTTGAAGTTGCCTTTGCCGTTAATAAGGTTGTTGACCGAAAAGACTAGGCCGCTTCCTCCGACTTTCAACATCTCCTCCAGCAGGTCGTAGTATTGTTCGTGGTACCAATCTGATGGATATTAGCTGGCTGTTATAATAGGCGTACGGGGAAAGAATGTTAGGGAAGGGTCAGCAAGCAGCGGGAACTTTTCTACCTGAGAGCATGACCGGGCCGAGGTCAATATCAGCGGAGAGCTTTCCAGGGCCATAAATGACCATGGGCCCTACCACGCCGCCGGCATATTGAGACGAGTAGTGAGAGTGGTACCAAGTGGTGCCATAAAGTGAAGCCTGGAACCTGTAGGTGTACGTCTGTCCGGGTGCAATAGGACACATTGAAACTGCAGGTACGCCATCTTCATACTGGGTGCCCTTCTGGAGAAACCCGTGCCAGTGAAGGGCAGTACCTTCAGGGGTGCCGGTGGTGATATTGTTGGTCACCTTAACCTCGATCCAATCGCCCCAGTTTGCTTCGATAGTTGGTCCCGGGAACGCCCCGTTAACCAGCAGAACTGATCTTTCATACCCATCTGGAGCAACTGTCCCGCGGCTGATGGTGAAGTCGTAGTTACGAGTGACGCCGGTGTTGGGCCAGGTGGAGTACGGGTTGGTTCCATCGACTGTGAGCGGTCCCCACGGCTTGCCTTGGGGCAACGGGTTGTTTGTCAGGAAGGGCGGGAGCTTGGGTGCCCCAATAGTCCCCAGGGGAGATTTCCTATTATTGAGTAAGCGCAGTTCAATGCGGATGAGTTATTCAGAGCCCTGCGTCACAACAGGCGGGGAAAGGGGTGTAGGGGGGAGGAAGTGGCGCACCCATTGGTTTTGTCTTGAGACAAGGCAGCTTGGGTCAACAGAAGCCAGCTCCCAAGGGTCTTGGAAGTCTGCAGGGCTACCATCTTGGGTGGCTATTCAAGTCAAATAACGATAGTGGATCGGTCAGATGACTTGTATTGGTAGACTAATGTCTTGGACGAGTAGACTTTGATTGTGTGACGAATGCCAAGAAGTGTGTAAGCATGTATAAGCTATATACTCATCGAACCACCGTCTAGTTTGTTGATTCAATCCTCTAGCCATCGTGCTTTTCTGTGGTCTCGGACGTCAAAAGGACAGCCACTCCGTGCCGAAAACTCGGCCACCGGCAATATCTCCTCGATCCTTGGGGTTAGGCTCGGTGAAGGTCGGGTATTACGGGTTGCTGTCTCGTCCGAAGTGACCTTTCTGCAGGTGAATATTACTGTGCTAATGTGCCTATCGGATATCAAAGAATAGTGTGTGCTCGTAAAGATGTTTCGTATTAACCGCAAAGCTACTTCGGTCCCGTGTTTATGTGAAGCGAAAAGGCGAGCTAATGCAGGGGAAGGCGAATTGGGCTTCGGATTAAAAGTCGTTCTATATTCTTAGTCCAAGAGTCATGATTATCATGCTAAGGGAACCGGAACAATGTGCTTCTTGAATAAAGCACGATTAACTCACAACGACAACAACGGCCGTCTATTGCATTTCGTTGCCGACTGATCCGCGCTAAGACAGCTCGCGACGGCGACGGAGATCCCCAACCGCACTAGAAAGGCGCTTTTTCAGCGCTTACGTCAGTCTATGCCATGTTTAAGCGCCTCCCTGACCTAGAAATGCCGAACATCCGGAATGGCACTGACTAATGTGGAGAGTTAAGAGGTCGTTCAGCGATCGAAAGGAGCCAGTCGTCGTAGAAACCGGCAGCAGCGCAGGACACGACACGCCTTCCACCGCAGGGACCCTATCGAATTTAGGGCGCAGTTCAACAATGGCACTAGGTTCATGTCCTGAATGAGATCTCATGAATGACGCAGTGGCTGGTCCTAGTGGAAAATAAGTGTCCGGTGACTAGTATGTATAAGACAGGCAACTACACGTATATGCGTTTATTTACCTAGACTAGAATCAGTGTGGAAGGCAATGCCAGCATAGTAATGATCTAATTCTCTGATAAATAAAGGATTCTAATACTATATTGATGTTAACGTTTCTAATGTCTAGTATCCAGCTCTACACAAATTCACTAGTCTTCATCATTACCCCACGGCTGGGATGATGCTTCCGCCGTCAAGAGTGTCACATAAGAACTCTTCAACTTCAAACGCAGTGACTGAATAATATGTGGCACGACGTAACCTGTGGTTCAGTATCTGCAAGTGGATATTGTTTATAATAGAAAATGCAATTGGTATGCCTGGTTCAACCGGGATATATGAGGAATTTGTTAATAAGAATGGAGTCGTTATGGCAAGACATTGATACCCGATATTGTCTGTAGCGTCCTCGCGTAGGTTGTTCAAAGCGACATCATGAGAAATACTAGCCACACCATCTGTTTTAAATACATTTCTAAAGCCGTTAGATTCTTACTCCACCATGGCTTCGCACCCACACGGCTTCAAAGTTCGCGCAGGGTCAATTTTGTTCCAAATTAACCACTCCGCCTAGATATCTAGAATAGGTTTTCAGCGAAGCAGAAGGTTGACAAGGTTTTGAAAACGTCCCGTTGTGTAGATATACTTTCTAATCTCAAGTAATGTTGTCACGATAGAAGTGAGTTTAGGTCTCAACTCCAGCTTGATGAGAATCGAATCCTTGCACCTCGTGTGCCGAAAACCATACCATTTATTTTCGAAGCGGCGCATGAGCCATGGTAAACATAGCCAGACTATTTCTTGTGGCACCCGGCATATAGTGAAATATTTGATTCCATTCATTTAGTCAAACGTTAGGTCATTGCATCGGTGTTGCAATAATCGTTGAATATTCTGCCTGTAACGTTGCATACCGGGTGGTTACTTTCCACTCTATTCCTCGTGACTTACACGACCATGCCCTTGCTGCCATCTTTGGCATATCTGTTGCTAATAATGTCGCGAAGGCTTGTGCCTAGAGGCTACGATATTGTCCTAGGCCATTCTCGGCATTGGGTCATGGCATGTGCTCGGCCTGGCGCACGTAAGCGACAACTTTGGTTGAACTGGTGGAATTGACAGTAGTTAAACGGGACGATGTAGACAATTGGATAGATAAGAGAAGGCAGCTTTGTTTAAAGTAAAGGAGTGATGTGATTTTTGCTAGGGTTTTATCATTACGGCTTTTTTGAGAACAAAGCGATCAATAATTGTGGCTTTTGGATATTTTGGACACTAACAAATAGTACGCAAAATTCAAGCTTTGATGATAACTTGGACAATCCAGGCAGTTGGAAGCCTACAATACAATCTCGGATGGATAATACGAGGTCAGATACTCAACCTTAAAGACTTCAGGCGCGCTAGGTCATGATTTGGATGGATGCAGGGGATACCTGGTGGGAGTCATAAGAAGGCAGGAATCAATGTCACAGTAGTTATTGCATTTCCGCCATCCCTATATGCTCAGTCAGGGTAACAGGCATCTCCCTAGATAATGATAACAGAAAGGGAACAAAGTCGAGAATGTTAATTAGATGCTATCTCTCGATTACATTATATAGTGATTAGTTGACTAAAAGAAAACATATTATCTATATAACGTTTACAACCACCCCACCTTCTAACAATATGTCACTACTACGCACTATAGTCTACAGGCTTAGCCAGAGGACCCGTAGTGATAGGAGTTAGGGTTGGCAAGCTGTCCTCAGATAGGGGCGGCGCAACATGCTGTAGCTCGACTTTCATCTTGAGGGAGGGCGCTGAGGAAACTGGGACAATGGTTCCATTTATCTGTTATCATAGGTTAGAATTCAATAGTTCACAACACCTCTAGGATTCAATTGTACTCACGCTCTGTATAACGACGGACAGTTGCTTCTGAATGATCTCTTTGTCGTCAGAAGAAACCGCTGGCTGTTGCACCGTTGTACTGTCTGTTGTAGAACTGCTGTTGTTTCCCTGGGGTTCTGGGATGGCCATACTCTTGCCCAGCTTTTCCAATGCCGTGTTGAGCGACACAGCACTATGCATCATTCCTGATGCCGGCATGCTCATGACGCTTATCTTCCCGGCGAACTCGCCGTCCACGTAGACGGAGACACTGCAAGGCAACGGCAGCTCGCTGCGCTCCAGATCGACCAAGGCCGAGTACTTCTTGTGCGGGGCATCAGGCTGGAATGTGGCCGGCGGTGCATAGGTGCCTGCTTGATTTCTTTGGGAGTTGCAGCTGGAACGGCGATGCTTGCGGCGAACCTTCCTGCTTGTGCTGCTCGGGCCGTACAGCCGGTTGACTGACACTGTCACCTGGCGGGCTAGGGCGTCCTGGCTTTGGTTCCAGTCAATGATCTCGGGATACGAGTAGCCAAAGTTCTTGATTTCAGAGGCCGTTCTGCCTGTGTGAAAGTTGCCAGACGTGTCGCGGTAGAAGGGCTTGAGAGGACTGTCTGCGGTTATTGGCGTGTTGGCTGCCGTGGCAAAGAGAGCTCCGGATGGTAAGGTTTGGGTCTGCGTCTTGTCATTGTAGTGTATAGCCTGCCACATGGCGATGAGGCGGTCGACATTGGTATGGTGCAACATGCTGGGTGGCGCCACGCGTGTCAGTCTGGGAAAGACATCTACCATGTCACTTTGTGAGGGGAACCTACAAGAGCGGATCAAAGGCAGAATATTCTATGTAAGCCATAACCGCGTAGATTGCTGAATGCACCGAGTTGTGTACGTCCTCGAAGCTGTTTCCAGAGCTCCCCGTGCTGGCCATCGTCTCGTAGTCTGTGGCGGTGGTAAAGACATTATACTGGGAGGGGGCATCAGTGACAAATTCGGTTCCTTACAGCTGTTATACCACCAATTTGGTGCAGCGCTTCACACATACCGTATTCGCCTTCAAATCATCCTGGCTAAGCTCTCTGTTGGCCAAGGTTGGCCGGTTGTTCCCGTTCGAGTCCGGCCACCGCGTCGTCACGGGGAAACCCCAGCAGTTACGGTCGCCACTCGTTGGAAAGTAGCTGGAGGCCGTGTTCAAGGGGAACCTTTGCCATTTGTATCCCAGTAATGGGTTTGCCATGTTAACTTGACCGCCAGGCCCGTTAACGGTGATGGTTGCCTGCGTTGCGATCGAGGGAAGCTGGGCACCGCCGTCGGCCGCCCAGTCCCAGTAAGGATGTCTCCAGTTATCGGCTGCTGTCTTGTACTCTTCCGCGCGACTGCCGCTATAGTTGGCGGCGATGGCCTGGATGTGGCTGCCAAGGACTTGCTGCGCTGATTTTAGCTAGAAGCCCTGTCTAGATTGCCTGTTGAACAGGTGCGTACCTCAAATAAAGCAACGTATGGTCGATGCCACATAGGAAACTGAACGTTCTGAGAGGCCGTATGTGTTAGTATTACGAGCATTGTTGTAAACGGCGAGTATACTAACACCGTGAGGGCAGTAGCCGCCGCCGGAACCACCCGATACCGCCTGGACGCCGTTCCAAGGGATGTAGGGTCGCCCGTGGATGCCTAAGAACCTGGTCAGTCTAGTTCCGAACAACGACTATGTTTTGGTAGTGCACATACCGCTGATCTGAAAGTACGATAACATGTCATTCTCCGGAGCATCGTTTTGCATTGCAGCAAGGCCCAGTATGTACAGATCCCTGTAATGTTGTAAGCCTACCATGACTGCATTGTGTGAAAATGTGGCAGGTTCCTACCATTGTGCACCGGAAGCCTGAAGGTCATTGATGTTCTGGCGCAGCGGCCGCTGACCAGACGAGCTGTCTACGCCCGTCTTCAGACCCGTAATCGCATACGGTGTGGATGGCGATGGGGACACTTGTGCCTGCCTGCTGGATGTGGACGACGATACAGCTGCGGCGGAGGGGCGGGAGGAGGTTGAAGTGGTTGTGGTAGGCCTTTGTACTGCACTTGTAGACGTAGGTCGTATCGAGACTCGGGCAGATACCTGCGAAGTCGTGGGTCGCGATGCAGGGTTCCCCGATGTCGCGACTGACGCTGCCTGGCCCAGTGGCCCCGGATGCGGAGGCCCTGGAGGCGGAGGCCCTGGAGGCGGCGGTCCTCGGGCTGGTGGTCCTCGACCTGGTGGTCCTGGGGGCGGGGGACTACGGGGTGGAGGGCCCCAGACTGGGGGGCCGCGGCCCGGAGGTGGGGGTGGTGACCGTTGAGCCCCGACAAGGGCCGGAAGGACGCAGACAGCGACAGTGGCTGCCAACTTGCTAAGGAGGACCATGTTGACGAATTCGAGACTGCCGTTGTTTGATTCGAAGTGATTATTCCCAGTGATACTGCCTACCGGGTTCCATGTCTATTATACCTTACAGGCAATGAATATTGGGGTTAATCACTAGTTTGTTGGGATTCCTCCGTTCTCCGGCAGTGGCTTTAGTGTGTAGCATTATCTACGCTTAACCGGCACGTCTACAGTTTGCCTTTCAACTAAGGACATGGCCCGAGATTGAAGATCGTGGTAGCTGATTGGAAAAAAACGCCTTTTTGATCCATGGCTTTGTTTAGTAAGATGAACAACACGTATTAGGGGCCAGGCACAGGAAGCATTGTGCTACTCTGTCGAAAATCAGGGGGGGGAAAGGAACATGGCCTGAAACTACAGGATCGTAATTGTGGTTTTAATTGCAGATTAGCATTGTAAGGATCCAGCTAGTCATGTTAGTTTAGGGGTAAGCAGGCCGCTCCGTCCGAGGGAGCTTAGTACGTGGCGGGAGCCGTTTGTTACATCTACACTAGTGTCGCCTTGACGCTACTGACTTGGCGGGAAACCAGTGTACGACGACGGGGAAATTGTTTCGACTCTCATTTCCGGACGATCTCAGTTGAGATGTTCGCTCGCGAATTGGTAAGTTGAGATGAATCTCGTAGCCGGCAGAAGATCTAGAAACAAGACACAAGGCCACAGGCCTAGTTGTGTCTCATTACGCCTAAGAATGGCACATTGGTAAATTATGTGCCTGCTACCCACCTGTTGTCGCTGCACTTATTCCCAATGTTATTGCCTCACACGCAAGTTATGTAAGATATGGAACATCCCTCTATTTGAACATCACGGCAGTGGCATTTGTGGGAATCGCAGCTGCTCCGACCCTTTTTGTATTGCTGCGGGAGTTCCTCAAGTCAAGAACAGGTGTAAGGGTTACGTAGGATTCATCTTCTTTCTGTACCATGGGCACGAACTCATCGATTTGTGCGTACACTTGCGTCAATGCATCTGGCGCTCAAACAAAAACGTCACCTACTGTCTATCACAGTGATAGCTGCCAGTCAGGATACCGAGATACGCGGCCAAGGCAAAGCGGTCCCTCGTATATCACGGGGCCACACATGGACACAACAATGCAAGGACAAACGACCCGGATATGATGGCTGGTACTCTTAAACACATGTTATAATTGTGTAATCCAAGCACACCATAGTCACCTATTGCTGTCTTCTCTATAGTGTCTGGTTCTTTACCTGTGATATGTGGAAATGCCCTGCTTAGTCATCCAGGGCGGGATGATTACATAATGATTCCGCCGTTGCACCGTTTCCCCCGCGACGATGAACCAAAACGCTTGGCCGCCGTCGCGTTTTTATGCATCCACGGACAATCACGAACCCTTGCGGGTGCGCTTCAGAACGCGTCTCCGCGACGCGCCATCTCCATCCCACCGGACTAGTACATAGGAATCTCTCTCACAGCAATGGTAATTTGGTTTCGCTTTTCAGTTCAAAACAATGCCTCGCTGTAGCCTGATTGCGCTTTATGCTAACGTGTCGTTTGTCAACAGAAACCCAAGTCGTCGCACAAGGAGCAGGCTCCTAGAGTCGAGATCGTACCCTCTTCCCAAGTCTCGGACGTGATACCCCTTGTTGTGGGGATGTATATCGCTGGTCACGGACGAATGCGCGACGGCGAGACGGTCTTGAAGCTCACGCGACAGAGCAACAACCTCGACGATGAGCCATTCGTGGCATGGGTCCCCGAACACACGCTGCAGTACCTCGATGCTGACGCGGTCTATGAATATTGGGAGGATCTTCCGGGCGGCAGGGACCATCAACTCGGATACGTGCAAAAATGGAATGCAAACATTGCTGCAGGCCTCAACAAGCAGCACGGTATCCCTTGGGAGATATTCAAGATAAACGAATGCAGAATCCGCAACCGGGAGATGGAAATGCTGGTTCACTGGCAAGGGTACAGGGAAGAGGAGTCCAGCTGGATCGCGGAACGCGACCTCAAGCAGCAAGCGCCCCAGATGGTGTCGTTTTTTTGGGAACAGCAAAATGATCCCACAGCAGTGGTCTCTAAACAGTGGACGCAAACATCTCTTTCCCATAGATGACCGCATCACTCTCGGTCGCGATGCGGAATACCAGTATTAGGAATGGAGTTGAAGGCTATCTATTTGAAGGGGTCTGCGAAGGTGGTAGGCAGACAAAATCCTCGGTGCGTTAATGATTTGAGCACCTGGCAGCGGAAAACAAGAGTAGGTTTGCATCAAGAGAGCCATCAGGGCTGCGGAGGGCAGATTGTGAGGAATATGCTCTCTGTCTCCCTTGGCTGTGGTATGTCACAGAAACATAGGCTATCAATCTCACCTTGTCCTTGCGATATCGAACCGGACAAGCCTGTCATCCAGACGTAGTGCAACTAAGAACATTGTCATTGACGATAGCTAGTCCTGACTGATGGCGCAAATATAGTAAAGAGGCGCATCTGCCCCCCTCTCAATCATGGGGCCAGAACAAGACAGAATAAAGCCCACATGTCACACGTGGGTCTCTAATCAGCCACTGACTCCAAAATTAGCAGCGGATGTTTGGTGGTGTTGGTGTGCATATCCGACTAATGGCTTGCCGTGACTTCGTGAACCCTATGACTTGCGATGGCAGCCCGTAGCAGTAAACCACCACGTACCTACCCATGTACAAACCTGATTGAGACACCAAGCGAGAGAAACTGATGATACGAAGCAATGAATTGACGAACTCTTGAGGCCTTGTCAAGAAATCCAATCGTTGTCAACTTTCTCACATCCTTTAATGCTCAGGGATGGCAGCTCCATCACGGCGCGTCATAACATTGAGCATTATCTCCACCCGGACCGGCCCAAGCTCCAAACAACCCTTGTCAAGTGCAAAAGGCAAAGTTGTATCTGCTGCACCCACGGACGCCACAGACGCCACAGCCAAACTGATCAGAATCACCCCTCCATTATTGGTCAGTTTGAACGTGACCGTGATCAGACTGCCATGGACGTACGGATAGTTAAGAACTTAAGGTGACCATAGGGGGGTTTACATGACCTGGCCATGGCTAGAAAGGAAAAGTGGGTCCACCTAGGACCTGACCAAACCACACGTTCTGTCCGACCGGCAGGGTGTCTTACGTAAGGGGTGCCTCGACCGCGTCCGCGATCCTGCTTTACTCGGTAGTTTCCTAGGAACGGAGTATTCGCAACATTATCGCATCCATCCCGACAGGGACCTCATTGTCCGTCTCGGCCTCATCCACATGCACTCCGTAGACGAAAGAATCCTGGCGACATGGCAGGTCGACAGTCTCGAGGCCATCTTGGGCCGGAACCTGTCGCCCAGGACGTGGAGCCAGCAGCTGCGTAAACGTCTCTTGGCCCTGAGCCGCCTGGTCTCCCTCCAAGAGGCCCGCGAGTTACTGAGACAAGAGCTCGCATCCCGCCTCAACGATCCCGCCAGGAACAGAACCGCGCAGCGGAAACACCTCTGCGATATCGACGTCCTCCACGTCGTCAACGCCCAGCAGAAGGAGAACCCGCGACCCGAGCTGCTCGACGAGGTCAGTCGTCTATTTGCTTGCTTCCTTTCCTGATTGTCGCCCCCGTGCGGCCAGACTGACTGGTTCTGACGCGCGTTGCAAGGACGAACAGCTGGACCCTATCACTGTCGCTCCCGTTTCCACTCGCTCTACGAGGCGCAAGAGAGTACGATCACAATCTCCGGACCAGGTAGATGCCCGGCCGCCGTTGCGTTCCCGAAGCCCGGACCTATCCACCCCCTTCACACTGGGTCGCCCACCTGGTCGTACGGCCCGAGACGATTATCCTCTCCAGCTTCTTGCACGCACCGCGGCCGATTCCAAACCCCCTTTTGTGCCGATCCTTCCACGTACCCATCGCCCGATGCGGGTACCCCCAGTGACATATCGTCACGGCCCCACGGCGGACCACGGCAAACACACCGACACGATAGTGGTGGAGCCGAACTCGCCCGAGAACCCATCACCCCAGTCGAGAAAGGAAGTTGCCATTCCTCCACGAGACGGCCCGAGCCCAAGGCCGACCCCCGAGACAGGCGATGCCGACGAACTCGCCAACGACGACACGACGACCAATGACGCCGCGAACGACAGCGCGAATAACGAGATTGCGGGCGCTGATGTGACTGAAAACGACATGGCGAGCGACGATGGGGCGAACGAAGGCACGGCGAATGGAGGCATGAGCGACGACGGGGCGAACGGCGACATGACGAATGGGAGCAACGACACCGATGTGAAGATGGTGGACACGGTCTCAGTCCAGGATACCCCACGACCGCAAACCGCCATCTCATCGGCTCCGAAAACCCCGAACTCTTATGTAGATACCGTGTTTGTGCCATTTGAGGACGAGACCGACACGACCACGGCGGACGCTACCTTGTCCCGGGAAATCCCACGGCCGAAAACCGCAAACCCACGTGTCGAAAACGTGTTTGCGCGCCTCAAGAACGAACGAGAGTACGAGATAGCAGACCTCGAGGGCGAGGTGCAGAAACTGAGGTTCGAGGTAGACGTCAAGAGGACACAGATTCAGCTATACCGGCACAACCACACGCAGGCGCGACGGCGTGCCGAGCGGACCCGCGGCTCACTAAATGACTTGGTGGCCGAGGAGGAGGAATCCGGCCAGGTGGGGGAGTACGACGAAGCTCTCGCGGAAATCACCGCGTTCGGCGAGCGATACTCATCCATCCTCGATGCCACAGGCGAGGAGAACCTAGGAGACCAGAGGAGACAAATCCCCCGTACCCCCGCAAAGCGAATCTCGTCAAAGATGTCATCGCGGGGGACGCCGGGCCTCCAGGACGTCAGCGAGACCCCGAAGGTGCTTCTCACCAGCCTGCACGCGGCCATCAAGATGCAAAAGGCGCTACAGATCGAAAGAAAGACGGCGCTCCAAGAAGCGAGAGTGGCGGCGGAGCAAGAAGTAAAGGACGCCGAGGCCGCTGTCGTCGAGAGGTTGGCGGAGGCGGAGGAGGCGGAAGCGAGCGTGACGAGCCTGCTGGGCACTCTCCAAAGTCTGGAGAACTATCTGAACTCGGTCAAGGAGCAGGCAGTACTCCTCGACAAGATGGGCGCCTGTTAAAGTTTGCATGAGAAGACATCAGAGCGGTATCAAAACTTGGCGGTACGGGTCGTCAAGCTTGGAGGCGAAAGGGCTGGAGAACATCCGGCCCGACTCTAGTCTGTCTTGATATGTATAATACCGTTCGCAAGGCGCCTTGGCTCACCTTGGCTTACCGACATGATCGCAAGCCCTTTCCGAATAAAGCAAGCGACGCATGTCTGTCTCTCATCCAGGCTGATAGAATGTCGCCAGCCTCGTCAGCTGTATTTCGCCAATGCAGTCTCGAAACACCTGCCGCCTTTCGCTATGCCATGCTTCCCGTCGGGGCATGCCAGCAAGACCAGCCGTCCATCTTTGTAATGTACAAGAGTGGTGTTACCCATCCAAGTTAATTAAGCAACGATGTCCACTGGGGACCATAAGGAAGTATAGGGAGGGCTCCATATCCTTGTCACACATCCCCTCTATATCAGATACTGTGGCCTTCGGGAAAGCCTTGAAGAACCTTGCAGTGATTAGGCGGAGCTCGATTCGCCCCAAGTGTCGACCCAGGCAGGCTTTGAAGTATTAGTAACCTTGAAGAAGAAGAAAAAAGGGTGAAAAGGGCAAAATGGCAGGCGGGCTTACTTCTAGAACCTCCTCCAAATGGCATAGTGCAGTCCTTCATCAACTGCGTAGTGTGCTCCCACCTCTCCGGGTAGAAGCGGTATGGGTCAGGGAAAGCATTCTCATTCCGATGGAGACTATAGGCTTGTGTTGTGACTGTGAAGCCACTAGGGATAAACCTTCCAGCAAACTCAGCACCACTGGCAGGGACTATCCGCGGGAGGCCACATGGTAGAGCTGTATAGAGCCGCAGTGTTTCGTTGACAACCCAATTTAGGTACTTCAGCTCCCTCAGATCGTCGTAGGTATAATCATCGGGGAGGCCGTCCAGCTCCTTTAAGAGCTTAGCTTTGATGTTGGGGTACTTGCAAACAGCCCAGACAAGGTAAATCATAGAGTTAGCGGTGGTGTCGCTGCCGCCTACAATAAAGACCTGAGCGTTGTCGCGGATCTCAATCGGCGTCCATGTTTCTTCCTGCCCTGCATTGTACACCTTTGAGAAGACGCTTGGGTGTGAATCAGAGCCAGTCTCCTCAATCCGCTTGGCGTGGCGGTCTAGTGCGTCTTGGGTGTAGTCGAAAGTTCGATACTGAATGGTTGTGGCTTCCTTGAAGACCGGGATAGGGAGATAGAGCGACAGGAAGGCAATTATTGGGAACGTAGTGCGAAGGCTAGAAACAAAGCCTAAGCTGATAAAATCATTGACGGATTGGTTTTTCTAAATGAGACCACAGTCAGCGTGTTGTTTTGCAATAAAGCAATGGCTCAATGTTGACATACCTCGCCTCTCTCTAGATTCCCAAACGACTCACCAAAGGTAAGATCACCAATGACGTCAAACGAGAGAAACATGAACCACTTGGCAACGTCGGCCGCCCCGCGAACTTTGTTCTCTTCCTCGATGCGCGAGATAGCAAGTCGCACTTTGCTGTCAATCCGGGGCAAGAATGTCTTCAGGCCAGTCTCAGACATGGGATTTGACAAAAGTCGTCTATACTTGCGATGAATGTCTGGATTGATCTCGTTGAAGACGCTTGAGGAGTCCGTAACGAGTTGGGAGTACCAAGGCGACTTGAGGAAGCCGGTCTTGGCGCCGATGATGTGTTGGCATCCAGGCGGGTCAGAGACATCGACCTGGTGTGGGCTGTATCGCACCACTGGGCCGTATTTCGCATGTAGCTCGTGGATCCAAACAGGATGGCACGCCATGATGGTTTTATAGACGGAGGCCATCGTGGTGAACCGGGTGTACCATGGACCTGGGATATGTGAAAGCGGATTTGTGATGCCGGCGTAGACATACTGCTTTTCACCTAGTCAGTTTGGCCCATATTGGCTAGTTGCGCCTAGCGAGTGATACACACCGTAACGAGTGCGACGCAAAGAAGGGCGCCTCCGAGGAGTAGAGTGTCTGTCTTGAGGAAGTCCATGTCGAACGCAATTACACGTATTTGCTAGTCAACAACTGTTACAATTTTAAAGCCCACAGTAGGGCATTGAAGAATACTTATGCAAGAACGAGACAAATCCAGAAGGAAGAAAATGATGTTTATATATAACTAGTTGACATCAGTAAATGGAATGAGCCGTAAGAATGCTGAAACGAGTTGGCACCAACAATCATGGGGTGAGTTTCGCAATAAGAGCAACGCAGAGGCCACACCAAAATTCGACAGGGAGGATATCGCTTATGCCTTAACTTCTACCTGCCAAAATGGCTTCATCTGTACTTGACGGAATCCCCCAACGGGGTTGCAGAGCTATTCTGGCCGGGGATGTGGCGGCGTATGTATACGGCTTGAAACCGTATTGGCATCAGATGCGAGTGATGACGGTAGACAACACATTCTTTGGGGAGCCGAATATACATAAGGTTCAGCGGAAATAACGTCCGAGTAGCAAACATAGGGACAGCGCCCCAAACCCCCCACCCCCACCGTTCTAGCGGGCATCGGATCACTTGCCCTGCAGAGAGAATTTTTGCATAGCAGTATGTATGACAATTAGAAGCTACGGTTGGTAGGTGGTTGAGACACGACGTCTTTGGTTGCACTATGAAGTAGCTTCAAGGTATCAATAGGTCCGCTCTTCAACATTTCGTTAGGTAGTACTGCAGTGTTCAGTGTGTGTCGACGCAGGCATCTCTATCAGTGCCAGTCTAGAAGCACAAGCGCAAGACGTGCCCCGCAAGCCACAAGGTGTAATTATATACAATCCAACAGAGCCACCAGCCACCCCCACTTACCCTATCCTCTTCTCCGGCGGGATTCAAGGGTGGCCTTTTAGAAGACCTAAACCGGCCAGCTCAGTCAAGATGTGTACTTGGTAGAGGTAGGCAACGATGGACGTAGTAAGATGCAGGAGGTGGATCAAGGCATGCTCCATCTTTGGGCCGTGGAATGGTGCATGTATCAACATCATGATGATGGGTTGAGGGGTATTATTGGAACATTGTTCAGCATTACCGTCTGCTACACTGCGCAGTATGAGCTGGAGGAAAGCGCAGTGTCTCTGAGGGCAAAGTGGTATGACAGTACATCAGCATTCTGTCACAAAATGCAATCAAGTTCATTTTCGGCTTCACCAATACCTAGACCCAAGTTCTTTCTTAACTCACTTAAACCTCAGGGTAAAACAACCATAACTAAAGCAGTTACCAAGAACCACAGAGGACTTGTTTTGTTTCATTAATTATAAAATCTAGGAAATAGGAGGGCTACTTTTTCTTTTTCATATCCAATACTGCTTGCCGATCATGCCGATGAATATACCTGAATAGAAATAATTATATCGTAGATTAGGAAATATAGAGATGACATTTCTTTCTGTCTGACTTGAGTTTTGCCCAACCATCATGGCCGTCGTTCGCTTCTTCCCCATTTTGATAATATTTTTCTCAGTATTCTGTTCATCAGGCTTTCTGCCACTCGCTCTAGATCAATATGCAGTTCTACAACATTCTTGCAATGCTAGCCACCTTCGCCGCCAACGCTTTGCCCGACAGCATTCCCACTGCGCTTGTTCTATACGCCGATCCCATAGCAAACAGGAATGTTTTAGCTTTCAGTCTCTGCAGCGTCACTCGCCTTTCTTCTTGCATCTTCTCCTTTGCTTCGCCTTCGTGACCCCACTGTCCCTTCCTGCCATCTCGTCTGCTTTGCGTTTGCCGTTGTTTCTTGCGTCTGCCCTAATTACCTACTTCCCTTTCGCGCGCGCCATCTTGAAGTACACCAGTCAAGATGTACCCTTGACCGAGCTACGAGGGATGGCGTTTCTGCTTCTAATGCCCCCCGATCGAGCGCTGCAATAACCGCTATGGTGGTGCTCCACGAAGAATCATCTCGGGGGTGACCCTTACATTGAGTTTAGGATGGCTGTAGCAAAAGTACAGCGCACGATGTAGACAATCAGTTATGTCATCACTGGATGGCACAGACGTCTAATCATGTGCCCATTTCCACCAACGACTCTAAAAGCTTGGTCATCTATAGCGCTATGCTGTCGGGATAGTGGTGAGCTATTCCACTATTACCGCCTTCGCCTGGACAGGCAACAAAAGGAAAGCTGCACCATGCAACTAATTACAAAACGCTCACTAAGGAAGCACTGTGCCCGGTGACGCTCAAGAGTAATAGAACCCAACTCCTCCCCTGGTGGTTTTGTGACCGTGAATGTGGGGGACCAAAACTGTATCCATACTGAACTGCGTGACCGATAGGGGCATGGTCATCGTCGTCGTGTCCTCTTCCGAGGTGCCACTTTGGCCGATTTGATGTGCTCTTTCCAAAAGGAAGTAACAGCTTCAGGTGATTGCTGGTCGATATCCCGTTCAAGAACCCAGCTAGACTCTTCTTCTCGGTATCCTTGCCAGTGGACTAGCAGCTCCGTCTCTCTTTTGCGGACTCTGAATTTCGAAACTCTGAAGATCTCCCACTTAACGTTGTGCTGCTCGTGGCGACCCAGACGACGGTTCGCAGCCCATTGATGTACGTAGCCCAGCTGGTAGTCCCTACCACCCGGAAGACTCTCCCAGTACTGGTACACTGCCTCAGGATCCTTGGCCTGCAGCGTGTGTTCCGGGACCCAAGCGAGAAATGCTCTTTCGTCGTTGTCGACTTTGTCGTTACCTAGCGTGAGCTTCAAAACCGTCTCACCGTCGTTGAGTCGTGCATGGCCGGAGATGACCATCCCCGGGAAATCGGGGAGATCATCGGAAACTAAAGCGCGTCGTACGGCTGGTACTTTTGGAGCCGGCTCTTTATCAACAGGCGGGTGCGGTTGCTGCCCAAGGGAGCCTCTATGTTAGCGCGCCCCAGGGCCTTTGAGCAACGGGACTCTCGATTTTGCAATCTTGGCTGACTTACCGTCTTCATAATTGACTACTATCTTGTGCGCCGAGGTCGAAAGTGGGTGTCACCTCAGGGGCGCGTTCTGGAGCGCGCACGCGTCTGTTCATGATGGATAATCTGGCGGAGACGCGTTTGTCAAGGGGGAGAATGGGCCTAGCGGAACACATTTGTCTGTGTCAGCACATGTCCCACCTGGCACCAGGTGGGATAGGGTGTTATGTAATCAAGGCGTATCGTCACACGTTCTCTCTTATTGACTAGTTGGACTCCCGTCTTCACCAACAGCACCAACACCAACACCAACACCCTTTTCCAGATGCGTTGCGCTGCCCGCCCCCTCCGTCCCGTCCAATCTCAGGCCGTTGTGTCAAACCGATTGACCCATCCGCGTCATGAAGGAGTGGGCGTGTAAACACTGTAACCAGGATGGCCCTTCAGTTATCAGTCCGCCTCGGATGTTTTCCAAAGATTGGCGTGGTGAACATCTGCTCCATGAACGCTTCTGCCTGGGTTTGGACTCGAACGGCCGCCCCCTCGGCCTGCCTCGAGAGTGCCCGGCATGTAAGCAGTCACTAGCGGCCGGCAAAGAGCCCACCGTCATTACCTGGCGCAACCATTGGAAGAAGTGTCAGCCCGACTATCCCGTCACCAACGTCTTCACCATGAAGAACATCATAGCCATGTTCGAGAAGGATTTACTACCGACCACGGACTGGAACGCCTCGTTTGGAAACATCCTTTCTCGGAGGGCCACCTTGATGTCTGACCGCACACTCTGGCCTATTGCTCAGAAATGGGAGTCGAATCCGAACGCAGCCGTCCAAGAAACAAAGACCGTTTTGCGCGCATACCGGGATGATTTCAGGTGAGCCTTATTCTTCCCCGACCTGTCATGTTCTGGCCCTGCTGCCATTCTCTCCTGGCCGCAAATCTTTGCTGGGGCATCCTGGTGACGGGCGACGCCCTCGATTGGATAGGATACAAAACCGCCGGCTTGCCCAACGAACCGTGGGAGATACTAGACCAATGCATTCGGTCACTGCTTGGAAACAATTTCGTAGTCTAATGATAACGGCAGTACATTCTTTCGTGACGCGATTCCGCTCTCCTTCCACGCCCACATTTCCGATGTAACCCCCCACATCATTGTCTCTGCCATCCTCGCGCTTGAGCTCGAGTCGAACTGTCTAAAGAAGACCGAGAAGTTGTCGGCCAAGCAGATTCATGATTGCGGCGTTGCCGTTTTCAACGGATCCTACGGCGCCGGCCGCGGAGTTCTGGTGAGCCATTCGTCCCTCTGCGATTCAAATCCTCCTACCTTGCTTGCTCACTCATGACTGTCTTGAAAGGCTGTGACAGCCGCCGCGCCCTTTATAAGGGAAACGTCGTCCGGTCAGGCGCCCACTGTGCTGACACTGGCCCAATTACGCTCCCTCCCCCGCCTCAAGCAGACCCTTTCGAAGCTCAGGGCAGAAGGCACCGTTGCCGTCATTGTCGAGATCGTCGCGTCCTCGACGGGTCGGCTGTTGACCAAAGACGAGTGGGAAAACCTGGCCCAGGCATGTCACTCGGCCGGATTGTACCTCGTCGTCGACGAAGCTCAGACGGCTGTTCGCTGCGGCGCCCCCTTTGCCCACCATCACCCCACCTACTCGGCATACCGCCCCTCTTTCGTGCTGTTTGGCAAGGGACTTCGGGCTTGTGGCATCGCAGCGTACACAGACGGCGTGATGACCACCAGCCTTGGACATACAAGCGAGACCATGCGCAAGGTGACGTATCGCCTCGACTCGACCTTCTCGGAACCCATCAACTCGTACGTCTTGCTTCAGTCGTGGGCCATTGTGCGTGCCGCGATGAAGGAGGACTGGCCGCGCCGCGCCACGCGGATCGGGGAGAACCTGCGGAGGATCCTGGCGGACATGACTCCGCCAGCCAAAACGACCTCTGTCATGGGAATGGGGGCCTTCATCCTGATCGAACGGGGCCAGGCTGCCACGCTGTGCATCACCGGCGCCAGCGCTGGCAAAAAGACGATCCGGTGGCTACCCCCCCTCGACAAGTCCCTCGCCAACTACGAGGCGGTTCGTGCCCTGTTCGGGCCCGCCTCCGCCATGTTCCGGGACGACCTGTACCAGCTCCTGGACGAGCCAACCATGGTCTGCGTCAATTGCGGCGAGGCTCTCGAGGGCGCCGAGGGCACCTCGTGGGTGCGGTGCCCCACGTGCAAGGGGGCTTTTTGCGGGTTCTGCACCGAGGAGGGGTATGAAATGGCACCTGTGCACCAACGAGGCGAATGCCTGTCGTTCTAGAGGGCCATCGGCGTCGCCTCTTTGAGCGCGTGTGCCTTGTCGTGTATTCAGATGCGTCGACTGGCCCTCAAATCTCAACACACATCGTTTGCTTACCATATACCGCCCCCCACCGCTCGTCTTATATATTATTTCTGGCCAACAGAATGGTCGCGTTACTGGGAAGAGTAATGAGAGCCGCCCCAGTGACGTGAGAATCGGAGCATTATAGCACCATTCATCATCTCATGGCATTCCACTCTTGAGAACGCCTATGCCGCAGAAGGCAAAACTTGAATGCGGTTTGATAGAAGCATTGTAAGCAAAATAGGAAGTGCGATAATGAGAATCGGTGCAAGGTGAGAAACTAGGCGCAGGTTGTACTAATACGGGGGCATAGCCAGCCAAGTGGTCTAGAACTCATAATGACCTGAGAATAGGGATAGGGGTGTGGGTTGAAAATTATCCATGTTTTGTGCTTCATAAGGTTACTGGAACTTCACGACAATTTACCGTAATTCTTTACTTTTCTGTTAGTTTTGGCTCACGTCGCTTTACTAGACTTAGTGACTTTGGTTTAGCTATACAGAGTACTCCGTACCCGAGGCCAAAACAAGTGTCCAAGAACCCCCGAGTCATAACCACACCTGCAGTTCCCACTACTGTATCAGGTGGTTTCAGAATACGTTCGTGACTGTACTCCGTAATTAACACATTATGAAGGATAAAGAATCTGAACAAGAAAAACATTACCAAAAAGCTAGGTGGTGGGCTGACTTACTATCTGTTTAATCTGCTCACTTATTAATTCATGGCAAATGTGGGCGACAATTGTTGATTGGTACCTAGTACTGGTATACATGGATGTTGGAGCATCAATACTGCTGTAGGGTTAAAGGTCAAAGTTGATAATTGTAGCATCTAAGGCCTCCTTTTGCGCTACCTCGCTTGGCCTCAAACCACGTATCTTCGTTTGGAGACTCGGCGAGTATCACGCATCTCGGCAATAATTTAAGTTCGATCAATCAAGCCTCTGTGTAATACGCATCCAGGTGAACTGATGAGAACTGTCGACTATACTGTACTCGCCGGAGGGACTGCTTGTATACTTTTTTCAGGACCAAGAACCATGTGTCACTTGTGCATACTTTTCCATCACTATTGACCCAGGCTGTCTCCCACCATCCCCAAACCGTTGCTCAGGCCCCAGCCCATCAACATGTTAGCTCTTAACAAATCAAAGCTCAAGCAATAGGAGCCCTATATTACGACCCCTTGATCCACATTACAACCTTTTCAAAGACCTAGCTAGGGAGTTCTTTATATGGCACGTGCACGTCATAACAATATATATGTAACAATACGAAACTAGGGGATAAAAATAAGGGGTAACGCAAAACCAGCCAACCTCAATACGGGCTAGTTTACTACTGTACGCAGCTACTAGTTCTCCCTATAACATCAAGTCTAGTAAAGCTCGATGAGGAATGTATAAAGTGTAGTCCTCTTCACCATCAGGTGTTAACTGTCAGCTCATTCTTATTAGCCTCAACCTTCTGTCTTTACGTGTGCCGGTTACACATTCATTTCAAGTTCTTTCTTTTGATATCCTGTTCTTGCATACCGCCATAATGCACGCCTCCACGGTCATTTTCGCCCCTCTAGCTCTTCTGGCAGGCCTGGTTGCCGCCCGCCCCTCGGATTCTAACACCCCTGCCACTGGCGAACGCTGCTGTAATGGCGGCACAAATGATACTTCCGATTTCTGCCTGAGCTTCGGCTTAAACTCTTTCTGCGTAAGCTAGTGTGCTCATAAAACTCGAAGAGCGTATGTATCTAAAGTCTTGCAGTGCAGCGGCTTTGACGCTAGCATAGGGACCGGGTGCGACGATATCCCCGAGTTTCCAACAGGACGTAACATTCAGAACTTCGTCCCCTCCAACACCGGTTGCACCGTTCCAGGCATCAGGTCGCGTGGCACCTTACCTGGCTTTATCGGATGTGCCTAAGAGCATGTACCTAGACTACGTTAAATGTGTTACATCAACCTAATAACGATATGATTCAAACAACTTTCAAGGTTGCTATGCACAGTTGCATATTTCCTCTCATATGGCCTATAATGCAGATATTCACTGCGGCGTACACTTGACGATGTAGTATACAAATATATACTTGGCACCATGGAGCTGACATCTCTTGGTTCATCTGTCTTCTTGAAACACATCAAGCCAACAACCTCCAGCTCTCGGGAACACAGTCAACTCAGACGTTGCCCAACCCGCAGACCCGGCCTGTAGGTCATCATGCAAATAACCTTCAACGGCAAGACTTGTGCGCCCACTTCAACGTGTTGCATCAAGTTATCCCAGATAATGACTGGTTTAGATCAAAGGTCTCCGTGAGAAATAACCCAGTTCCAGTTTTGTAGGGGAGGAGGGGATTACCCCCCCCCTCTAGGCCTTGACAAAAAGGCAAACAATAGATCTCAAGCGTCCTCCCATCTCACCGAAAGAATCGTTGAAAGCGGAATTGTGTTGTCTCTGGGGCACTATTGCAACTCTAACCGCAAACTCGCTTGCAGAGGGCCTAGGGAATCGATGCATGTGTGTCGCAGGTCATATGGACTGTTTTCTCATCAAATGCACCTGGTCTAACGACTGGTCTCATACATCAGACCATGCCTTTCGCCAGTTCTGAAATCTAGGCCGCATATCTGCAAGAAACCAATTCACAACTTTGTAGTTTTCTAGCGACCCCGCTGGCTAGAGTTTTCTTTTACCGCTGCAGCAGGAATTTTGAGACTTGCTCATGGGGGAACCTGTACAAATCGTCCTTCACACAGTTTAAGAAGATATGCAAAACGCTAAAAGTTGAAGACAAGCAACATTGAGCTACGCAAACTGTCGATTCGAACTTTTTTATAATCCAATGTTGTTTCTTCTAGACCAGTTGGATTCTTACTTTGGTATAAGGAGCCAGGACAAACATGTCCGGCGACATAGCTGAAGATCGGTAGATTGCATATGTCGCTGCAGGTCACTTGAGTCACGTTTCGTATTGGTCACGGTCAAAAGACAGAAACAAAGGCGGCGGCTACGAAGACAGAGAAGGTAGTGAGAACCTTACAATAGAGCTAAGTGTAGGTAATACCTAAGAATATTTGACTTCAACGCCAAGTAAAGAAGCGTAAAAAGTATTAGGGCTGCTCTTCCTGGCACACTATATCCTCCAGCCGGGTTGGTCGTGAGCATCTCTGCGGTGCATGACATATGTTTCTGGTCATAACGAAGAGAGATTTTCTTTGATAAAAGAAAGCATCATCACTGCATCGTCATCTGGCAGGCTTCAATATGTAATTGGACAAGTGCCGATGAGGTGGTGTACTCCCTCTGATGAGTAGGCGTACTCCCTGAGTCTTCACATTGATCGAACCAGCCGGATTTCATTTCCAGTAGCAGACAAGTGGGAGTTATCACAGCATGGTGTAGACATTTCTCGTTTGTTTTCACCTTGGGCCGCACTGGGGGGCGAAACTCCGACATCGTGTTCCATGACTTGATCACGGCATGTTGAAACTCAACAGTGGCATCGGCATTAGTTCCCATCAAAGCCTTCCTCTTCATTGAGAGTATTTCAATTTTGAATAGGCCCTACGTTGTATTTCCCAACTTATTTTGTCTCTCGAAGCGGGCTCTTATCAGCACCCCTCATCACCGCGGCAAAAGGCGATTCATATTCCATTTATCTCCTCGGGATCGATTCAGCCCGGTGGATCCGCAGCGCATCAAGCCTTCGCATCTGTGTTCTGGATTAGTCAAAGACCGATAAGAGGGGGAAAAAAAGGAACACGGACTTTGCTTCTTAACACTACGAGCATGAGCAGCGCGGGCCTGCTTCGCGGCCTTGAGCTTGTCGCGTTTGGCCTTGGCGGCTGCGATGCGGGTGCGAGCGTGAGCAGCGCGAGCTTGCTGCGCAGCTTTAAGTTCCGTCTCGGCACAAGACATGTTTGATTCCCCTAGATCGATCTTTTGTTCGGATTGATGTGTGATAGTGACCAATGCTTTGCCTATGGTAACGTCGGTGGTGATGTTGCTTGTTGTAGTTGTATTGTAGTTGAGGCTTTGTTGTCCCCTAAAGCGCGCCAGGCCCCCGCACTCTAGTGTCTCAGCCACGAAAACCCCCTGTCCAATCGATTTGCTGGTCCACACATCGCCCAGCCATCAAAGCCACTGCACATGAAGACTAAGCCACACCTCATGCACAGGCGCCGGAGCTTAATACTGTAATGCCAGGGAGGCCCTTGGTAGAGCATCTATTGAGTGCGAAGTGACCCTCACATAACCCAAATATGGGTCTCTGCAAATGATTACCGACAGCTATTGGATAGTTGGCCTGGGTTGCTGTAGTCTTATTGGTCTGAGGTGTGTGGGGTTACTTCGCACTCAATGGGATAAGCTCGGCATATTTCTTCTGAATTGTGACAGAACTGCCAACTTTTGGAGTGGCGCTCACCGCCATAGGTTATTGAAGACATGACGGAAATATCGTCTGTAATTTATCCAAACGGTCATTGAAACCTACAACAATTAGTCAGCGCCGAGTCAACTTTGCCTAGAGAGAATCTCAATATTTGCTCCGTCTTCCGGTCCACCCCCTCCGTTCGCTTCCGGGTGGGTGACTAATTGCCACCATGTCTCTCTGTTTACCTGAATTTGGCATCACTATGATCTATCTCGTAACAGCACAAACACCTGCACTTTGTTCTGGTGTCACAGGCCTCCGCCCTGTAACCCGATTTTACCATCAGGATAGGGAGGTTGGTGTTCATGCTGTGAGAAAGATACGGAGTGACAACGTCGTTGGCCCGCTGACCTGATCCGGCAACCACAGTGCTAAACTTTGGAGTCTCAAGACCTTCGCAGGCTCTTATAATTTGTAGTGTATGGGGTGTCCCAGAGTACCAAGCCACGTGACTTCGTCACTATGCTCAGAAGGATTACCGGAGCAGGCTTTAGGCAGCCGCAACGAAGAGGCGTGCATACGACCGGGGGAGCGCAGCGACAAGTCATTTATGGTGCCACGGGCTCGGAGACGCGGGGCAGGTGGATGCGGAGCAGCCAGTGATTCAAGCACGGGGACCTGTGTCGGAGTCAGGCGTAGAGTGTACGCGGAGCTGTAAGTGTGAAGCAACTGATTGGTGGTGTTGCTTCCGGAGGTCGTGCAGGGAGCATTCGGAGGAGAAACGGACTCGGCAGTATGAACCTTTGATGTGGTGGCCGCCACAGGATGAGCAGAGTTGGCGAGACGCTTGGCCGTCGTTATCCATGTTCCAGTCGTACTTGGAGGAAGAGCATGATAACCCCAAGAGGGGTTCGTCCATCGTGGCAGAACGCGTTGTGAGTAGAGTGTCGCCGGGAGGTCCGACGGCAGAGCGCGTTATTCAGGTTGTACTAGCGGTGTGATACACCCGTCACCGGTTGACTCGAAAGCGGGAGCTGTTGTGTTATCATTACTTTTTGGACGGAGACTGGAACCCTGTGCCTGAAGCGCCGGTACCCGTGATGGTTGAACGAACGGAGGTTGTCAGGTTTGCGCTAGAGGCGATCTGTGATCTATTTTACAGGGCAGACAGGGTCTGCGATGGTGGTTTGTCTTGATAAAGCGTCCAGCTGGTGTCAGTCGTTTCGTTGCTGTGATGGAGTTATGTCGCATATGTGTTCTGTATTGCCTTAGGAGGCCCGAGGTCTCGAGTACCTTGTTGTTGAACAGTGATAGGCGTTGTGATATATAGAATTAGTGACGCAGACTAGAGTTGTCAAGGTGGAGAGTTTGATTGATTAGGTGGACGTGCTTTGAGTGATGCTGTTTTACGTGGTGTTGTTGTTGTCCTCGGTGGAAAGAGATGTGTTTTATTATAGTAAAGTAGAGTAATTAAAGTAATAGTCAACAGTTGTAAATACTTAAGTTAGTCTTAAAGATAGTGTATACCTAAATAGTAATTTACTTTTACCTCTAATGATTGACAATAAGTCCCTAAATGATCTTCTAGAATGTGGAAATGGGTTACAGGGCGGTAGGGGGACAAAAAAAACAAAATAACATACAACACCAGGTATTCGCTGGTCGTCACCGACCCAACTACTAATCCGGCCCTCACTAGCTTATCTATGGGAGAGCGGACGGGATCCCGAGTTCTCCAGTGGGTATGGTCGTATGTGCTATGTTTGCCCCATATGCAAGTTTATATAGATTGCCAGAAGGCAATACTGTGATCTGCCTGGCAGCCTTTCATTTTCGTTGACCGCGGAGTTGGTCTACCGGCCTTGTTGAGCTCTGCAGAATGCGGTGCATGCGTCTTCGCCTTTGGCTTAATTATTTGCTATGGGCGACGTTGAGGGTGATTAGCGAAACCTATATTTGCGCTTCTGATGCCAAATCTCAAAAATGAAAAAGCAGGCGATTGACCTTTCCAAGCGGTTTGAGACAGACCTGCAACTCTGACCATGACACTGTCACTGCGGCCTAAGAAACCTTGCGCCAGCTCTCAGTTTGGGTTTCCTTTTTTATTTTTATTCTTTATTTTTATACATTTTTTGGCCATGGTTTCCCTTGAAAGATACTCACCTCTCTGGCTTTTCTTAGAACATGTTACTACGATTGACCATTACTTTAAACCCTCTCTTGAACACGGGCGATGTCCTGCAAGCCTGGTTCTTCATCTGGATCAGGTACGTCCGGTCTCCCCTAGGGGTATCCTCACGTAAGCCTTCCCCGCCTAATACCCGCGTCGAGATCGACTCTGTCACTTGGGCCATTTGTAGTCGTCGCTCAGTTTCCGCACCATTCAAACCCCCTTACAGCCGTTTTACTATTGAAATGTTGCACTTGGGTAGTGATGCAGATGGTTCCTTGCCCCCTTCCGGTTGCTAATTAGAAGGTATGGAAAATCGCTCCTGTGGTCGGAATCATACCGATCAGTCACACAGTGACCGCTGCCAGACGTACACATCCGCGTCACATGGGCACATTCTATGTAAGTTCTCCCAGCCAGCCACAACGCTACCTCAAAATAGCAACATGGAGAGAGAGCCAATCGACGCCAACAACGGCGTATACGCTGTGGATACAGCCGGTCACAATCACGCCCGACTGCTGATCCTTACTACTCCAAGTATATTCAGCTGGGAGCTTACTTAGTACCCTCAAGTGATATGTCAATTATGATTCCATTACTGGTGTTTGGTGCATAGCGCTCTAGTACATTTCGGCACCCATCCATGTGCCATCTCCTAGCAGCTGAACTATAGTAGCATAGGTAACAGTAGCAGCCGGTTTGAGAAATCATTGACTGAGAATGAACCTGGATAACCAGCTAGTGTTTACGAGCTGCGGGTGAGACTTGAAGACGAACCAATCGTTAATAATTGTGGAGGCCTGGTTCAGAGGGAGGCCGCCCAGCTGAACCTCAAGTGAGGTATTATATGTGATCGGAAATAGGTATACATCAACAGGCAGTGCCGATATGTTAATACTTTTCTAATGCCTTTGTGCCACGCGAATCCACATAGAAAAGCCTGCTGAGCCGGACCCAATCGCATAGCAGGCAGCATCGCCATCTACTTTATATCATAATCTATATCTTCTTGATTCGAGTTGTTCATGGAAATGGCGAACTTGACGGACATCAAAGATGTCCTCTACCACTGGATCAACAACGACGGCGGCGCAAGAGACGGCCGCGTTGGCAACACCATCAGCAATGGCTACTTTGAGAAGGGCGGCTGGGAGGGCTGGGCCCAAGTTGAGATCGCCAACGTGATAAAGGCCAAATATTCGGGTCTGGGCGTCACGCGCGAGGATGGCGTCTACGAAGGCAGCCTGGCGCGATCGGATCTTGTGCTGGTGAACGAGGCTTCCGGCGTCCGCAACGTCATCGAGCTCAAGTGCCAGCGTGGCAGCGCGAGTACCAACTCGAAATGGATCGTGCAGCAGGTCATCGACGATGCTGGCAAACTTCAACGGACGCTCAAGCCCGAGTTTAGGCCGGCCAAGTGTTTCGCGGTCGGCATCGCGGTCACGCCTGACGCGATTGCAGAAGTCAAGGACGACGCCAACTGGGGCAGCATCCGGTGGACTGGGCAGTTCTGCAAGAATGAACAAATCCTCACATTCTGGGTGGAGACGGATGTTGAGTGACGCATCAGGCCATGCCAATCCCTAGTGTAGAGGTATTTAGGCTGGGACCATGCAAAGAAGCAGTAACTTCAACCATTTCACTTGAGTTGAGATACCTACTGAATAAGACAACTGAAGCTGGTGTATCATGCTGCACAGGCATCGCAGCCACCCAGCCGGCACAACGCCCATGGCCGCGTGGTCCAGCAGTGCTTGCGGGCGTCTGTGGGCCGCAGAGGGGTGACATGAGATTAACTGATGCCTCTCTATCAGATCTGCTCGACAATTCTTCTCGCCTGGATCCTAAATCTTCGTTAAGGGTTTGATCGTAGAGAGAGGGTATTTTGTTAAGGTGGGGTGGTGGAGAGCGGGAGTTGAACGAACCTCTTAGACGCTTCTACTAACAGCTATCTTTCTTAATAGCAACCCATCTTGTCCCTAGCTAAGAATGTTACTTAGCAAGGCACAACGGAATTCTTGACAATCTTAAAGCTAACGCAAGAGCCCGAGACATACTGCACCCCAAGACCTACTCCAGTGTCAGGTGCCTAGAGCGGGGCCCTAGGGGAGCACTAGAGTAGGGCCAGGACTAGATAAACTAGTTACTAAAAGAATATAAAAAGAGGAAAACTCTATAGGACTTAAGGATTAAAAGAAGTAAATTAGAATAACTATTATAATTAAACCCCAACTATACTTATTATTAAGTCTTTTACTTAATACTATTTTTACTGTTATAATATTAACTATTGCCTAGATATTAGTAGTATAGGCTAATGCTAATAAGATAGCTATAATAACTATAGCTAATTTACTATAAAATCTACTAGATCTATAGGTATATTATATAGTAAATTTGCTATATAATACTATAATTGTTTTCCTCTTATGTATAATTAGAGAACTAATTTTTACGCTATTTTACTTATTACTACCTATTAATATATATTGTTAACTATATTACTACCTTAATAATAACTAATACTAATTAGTAGTTAACTTTTATAGTAACTACTACTATACGAAACTATAAATTAGTAAGGTAAATATAAAAAGATATATCTTTTACTATTAATTATTTATAAAGGCCTAAAGTAGGCTCTACTAAAAAACGCTACTATAAATATCTTTATAATAAAGGTTATACTATATACTTATTATATGTTAATTTATACTACTAAGTAACTTATTTTCTTAACTTATAAAAAGTAATATAGATCTATATTATTTACTTAAGTAATTAACTTTATTACTAATTAAGAAGTTATTCTTAACTATAAAAAATACCTTACTTTCTATACTTATTTACTAATAATTAGTAATTATTTACTATTTACTGTTTTATTATAAGCTTATAAAGCTTATTAACTTTTTTTATACTTCTTTTCTTTATTAAGTTACTTTATATTACTAATATAATAGTCTTTATAACTTATAAGTAAGTAATTAAGATAAGTAACTATAATAAGATAGTAAGTAATACCTATAGCGCTATTAAAGACTAAAAGAAAAGAAGAAATTACCTTAAATATAAGGTACTACTTAACGCTATTAAATAAGTAAAGGTAATCTAAAGCGTCTATAAGATCCCTAAAGGCCTTAAAGAATACGTTATTACTATATAATAGTAAAAAGACTATGTTATAAAGCTACTATAAGACTTTATAGTTACTAAGTAAAGTAACGTACTAGTGTAACAATATCCCTAGGCTAAGGGGCGGGATACCTATAGATTAGTTAATCGCTAGCTAATTAGCAAGACGTCAGCCGGCCGGACTATATTACCCTTTAGCCTAGCTAGCCAGCTAAAGTAGCTAAGTTAAATTCTATATCTATAGATACCCCTACCTATTAATTAATTAATTAATCTATTAATTTAACCTCTATCTTCTTCCCTAATCTAGGCTCTTAGCTAATACACCTTATAATTATTTGTAAAGGTATGGGTGGTGTGCCACGCCTGTCAATAGACCATTCTGGCATTACAGGCACCAAGTGCCTGAAATGCACCACACATGGCCTTATAAAGGGTAACCAGGCCAACCCCTTACATTATTTAACTTCTACCTCTAAGAGGGATTAGGCTAGAAATAGATAATAAATTATTATAATCTTAACTATTATAATTAACACGCTTTTTAGTAACTACTTACTAAATTAAACCTAAGCTACCTTTATTTACTCTATCTGTTATTAAGCTAATATAGACTATTTAGAAGTAAAATATAGCCCTTTTATAACTACTTACTAACCGCCTAGCCTATCTACTAGCTAAGAAGTAATATAAGCGCCCTCTAGCGTACGCCTATAGCACCCTTTAGGAAGACAGTACGCTAAAGTAAGTAGCAGATTAGCTAGTAGCTATTAAGGTAGGTAATTAGCTTTAGCTAATAGTATCTAAAGGCTACTATATTAAATAGGCTCTTATAAAGGTAACCCTAACGCTCTAAATATAGTAAAGAAATTATTAAGCTACTAAGGGTAGTAAGGAGGTAAGGCTTTAGGCTACCTTTAAAGTATTTATTTACTAATTATATATTAATCTAGAGCTCTAAGAGCGTTATCTTTATAGCTAGCTATATAAAGCCTAACAACAGGCAGATTAATTACTACTATAATTTTTTACTAAATAGTTAGTAATCTATTAGGCCTTAGGCTTTAACTAGGAGGAGAATTAGCCTCTAGCCTTCTTGTTTTTTTACTGCTTATAACTAGGGTTATAACAGGCACTAATCTAGTAGAAGCACTCTACCTAGAGGCTAAGGGACGTTACCCTTACTACTAAGAGACTATAGGAGCTCTAGGCTAACTAGGTTTCTAGCTAGACCTCTATAAAGAGCTCTATTTAATTACTACTTAGTAAGCTATTAGTAAAGAGGCCTTAGCTTAATAAAGCTAAGCTAGCTACTACTTATAGTAAGTATAGTAAAGTAGGCTATAGTGCTAAAAAGTACTATAGTAAGGCTATATATATATATTACTATAAGAAGGGGTATACTAAGGCTATCTACTAAAGTAAGTAATAGTTAGTAATAGTAGCCTAAGTTAGGGCTAAAATAAGAGCTAGTTACTATAACGTTAATATATCTAATAAAGAATACTATTAAATCCTACTAATAAGTAAATAAGGGCCTTATAAGTCTAACTAGCTACTAATTATATAGTAATAAGGGTTATTAACACCTAACTATTAGGTTTAAATCCTATCTAATTAAATCCTACTAATAAGTAGATAAGGGCCTTATAAGTCTACTAACTAGCTACTAATTATATAGTAATAAGGGTTATTAACACCTAACTATTAGGTTTAAATCCTACCTTTAGGTTTAAATCCTACTTTTAGGTTTAAATCCTATCTATCTAGGCGTACGGCCTAGGGACTAGACCTTCTAGGAAGGGGGGTAATTATAATAATATCCCTAGGCTAAGGGGCAGGATGCCTATAGATTAGTTAATTACCAGCTAATTAGCAAGACGTTAGCCGGCTAGACTATATTACCCTTTAGCCTGTCCAGCTAGCTAAAGTAGCTAAGTTAAATTCTATATCTATAGATACCCCTACCTATTAATTAATTAATTAATCTATTAATTTAACCTTTATCTTCTTCTCTAATCTAGGCTTTTAGCTAATACACCTTATAACTAGCTACTATTACTATATCTAATATTACTATATATAAGCACTATAACTATTTATATAGAATTCTCTAATAAAAGGCGTAATATAACTTTAAAGATTAGTCTAAAAGTGTAATAGACTGTTATAATACTAGAAGAAGTGTTAAATAATAGGTCTTATATTATATAGAAGCTGAATCTTAGAGAACTATTCTCCTGCAATTTACCAGGCTTTTGCCTACTAAATACCCCCTACTTCCTAAGACACTTTGCTAACCTTATAGCTTGTACAGCCAGCTGCTACTGGCTGCCTGTAGGTAGATTCCCTGTGGCCTGGTTAACATTGTCCTGTAACAAAAAGTAATTTTACTTTACTACTATATAAAGTAACTAAGAAACTTTATACCTACTTTATAAAGTATAAAGTATAAGTTAACTAATTAAAAAAGTTTAAAAATTATGTTATTAATTTATAAGGTAATATAAGATAAGTTATGTATTATATAAGATTAGAAAATAATTATAATTACTATATAAAAGTTTAGAGGATTTTAAAACTTATTACTAAATAAAGACTTTTATAAGGATATTACTAGTATAGTAGTATTATTTATTAAGGATATTATTATAGTATATAAAGCTAAATAAGCTACTAGTAAATTACTAGTAATAACCTAAGTAACTTTATATAATAACTTATTATTTATACCTCTTTTACTTTTATTACTATATAAACCCTAAGTAATAGTAGTAATTTATAAAGCCTAAGTCTAACTATAGCTTTTATAAGTAGTAATATATACTACGTCTATTATACTTACTATAGTAATAAGTAAGTAAAATAGCCTAACACTAAAGTAATGAATAGACTTAATAAAGTGTTAGAAGTAAAAATATCTCTAGTATTTTATACTTCTTTATCCTATATTTCCTCTATTATAGAGGTTACCTATATATAAGATATATATATTTATAATCTACTAACCTATTGGATTAATATATATACTAATTACGTAAGCATGCCTCATTACGTAATTAACTAAAGATTAAAGAAGCTTATTACTTTAAGTTAGGGTTATTTACTTAAGGTTATTAACTTACGTAACTAAGAGTTAATTTATAAGCAGCTTACGTAAGTACGGAGTATTCTAGTAAGCTGGGTATGTCTATATAAGGGCTAGAGTTATTTCTGTTTTCTAGTTCCCTTTTTCCTTCTCTCTCTAAGTAAGTAAACAGTTAGTAAAATAACAATAAGACTAACTATTATACTCTCTTTATATTATATATCCTTATATCTTTATATTATCTATTTCTCTATCTCTTCTATCCTATATTCTTGCTTCTATAGGATATATCTTTATATAAGAGATATACTCTCTTATATTCTCTTAAGCTAGATTTTC